GGGCTTTACGAAAAAAATTATTTTCTGTATCCACACTTCCAAGACCAGTCATTTGCACAGAAGAACTGAGCCTATATTTTTTATCTTAGGGGATAGATACTCTAAACAGGCAGTTCTTTGAAGAGTGTGGGGAGGGCCTGGCATCACTCTGTTATCCTAGCTCAGTGGTCGGCAAACTCGTTAGTCAACAGAGCAAAATATCAACAGTACAACGATTGAAATTTCCTTTGAGAGCCAAATGTGTTAAACTTAAACTATATAGGTAGGTACATTGTTATTACAATAACTTAATTAGGGCACTCCTAAGCTGGCCTTTGCTAAAAACTCAAGGGGCCAAAAGCCACTTGTGGCTTTTGAGCAGCGGTTTGCCAACCACTGTCCTAGCTGATCCAAGTTAATCATATTCTGGGGCTTATTGCCATTCTTAACCTACAGCAGAACCAGTGATGTGGTGTGATAAAGTTCTCCACATTTTCCTAAGATTCTGTTAAGGTTCTGCTTCCTGTTGAGAGACACTGTTGATATTTCTGTTTATTTATTTTAAGAAACTGTTTCAGTGTGTATCACCCTTCAGTCTAACATTTGCTCCTGATGATTATTACTATTTTTTTTTGGGGGTGGGGATGTTTCTTGAGTACACTATAGCAATTTTGAAAACATCACTCGATATTCAAAATCTCTTGAAGTAGGTAGAACAGTTTTAATCACCTTCATTTTATAGGTGAAAAATTTGAAGCTCAAAGGTTGCATGAGTTGATCAAGATTCCACAGTTGTTAAAAATGTGAGCTTTGGAGTGTGAAGGGTCTATGTGAGTCTGAGGCTTTAAGGCCTATTGACTTTAACTCTCATGTTCTTCCTTCTTTATAAGCAAAAGCTTCTAGTTGAACAGCTTATTCAGCACTATAAGTCATATTCTAACCAAATAGCTCATGTGCCTAGTGTTTTGTTGCTGCTGTTGTTTTTTGCTACAGTAATGGAAGTGAAGGAGAGTTGGTATTCTGTCCTGAAGAGCATTCTGTGTACAGGGTGTCCCAAAACATGTATACACACTTGAACAGCTGATGCTCAGTTTTGAAAATGAAATGTATCTTAATAAACACTGCCTTAATAATTATTGAAAGTGTGTGTCTATATGTTTTTTGAGACACGCTATATTACACTGTTAATTGTTATCAAAGAAAAGGAGCACCTGAGTTCTGGATTCTGTGACCTTGTAATTGGGCTAGCATGAAAACAAGGAAAAGCAATGATTATAGCAAGATAAAACAAAAAGTAAATTACATAGTTCAAGAAAGAAATAATCTCTGTGTACTCATAACGGGAGTGATTAGCAGATTCTCAGTGGCTCTGACTCCAGTGCTGCCGTGAGAAGGGAGAGGCGGCCTGTGGTGCGCTTGTGGGTGCATTGCCATAGGCACAGCTGGTGCTTTATTCCTGTTCTTCCTCAGCCCACAGATCTTCACCTCACCACTGATCATTTCTCTGAAGAATTTATAGGCGGTTGTTTGCCATCTCCCCAGCGCCCCCGCGATCCTCTGTGGTTGAGTTTGCACACGTTCATATGCATGCTAGGACTCCAGAGGGGCAAACTGCAGCCTAAGCCAAGTTCCTGAGTCATGTGTCAGTAAATGAAATAAACGTCCCGACTGACAGAGCCTGGGACACTGGCAATAGAGAGAGAGAGAGAGACAGAGGAGTTAGAGGTTAGAGTAGTGGGAGATTGAGGTCTGGCCCTTGAAAGCATTCCCTCCCTTCTCCCCCGCTCCTCTTCCCCCCACCCCCCTGAAATTACTTCTTACCTCAATGTGGTAACTTTACCCTTAACTAGAAAAGCATGGCAGGTCCTGGCCAAGCTGGTTAGAGTGTCACCAGAGTTCAACCTCCAGTCGGGAATCAACCAACGAATGCAAACTGATGTCTCTCTCTCTCTCTCTCAAATCAATCAATTTTTTTTAAAGCACTGCAATGGCAACTTGGTTATCAACACATAAGTACAGGGGCATATAGAGTGGATGTACTTGTGGACTTTGTACTCAGTTCCATTGGTCTGTCCACCTTAATAAGACCATTTTATAATTATGAAGCTTTATAACAAGTCTTTATGTCTGGTAATGTAAGTCCTTCAACCTTGTTCTTATTCATCAAGATTACCTGGCTATTCTTGGTTCTTTGAATTTCCACTCATGTTTTAGAATCAACATATCAATTTCCACAAGAAAAGTTGATGAAATTTTAATGGGATTTCACTGAATTTATAGGAACTAGGGATAATTGAAATCTTTACAATATTAAGTCTTCCAATCCAGAAATGTACCAAAAACTCCAAGAAAGGAAATCTACAGACCAGTCTCTTGTGAGCATGATACAGAAATCCTAAATCAAATCCAGCGATATGTAAAGATTTAACATATCATGGTCAAGTCTAACACTGATTTAACATTTTAAATCAATGTAATTCATGTTAATAGAACTAAGGAATAAAATCTTATGGTATCTCAAAAGATGAACTGTGGGACAACTGTAAGAAACGTAACATGCACAGAAGGGCAATCCCAGAGGAAATATTTGAGGCAAAACAGAGAAGTTTTCAAATTTAGTGATAGGCACCAAACCATGCTGTCTCAAACCATAGATTCAGGAAGCTCAGAGAACTGAAAACAGTGGCAATTTGTTGAAAGAATGAGAGAGAATCACTGATCAGCTGCCTCTTGTTCTACCTACTTCTCAAGGCAAATACAATTTTTAAACAATACATATTTTTATTGATGAGAGAGAGAGAGAGAGAGAGAGAGAGAGAGAGAGAGAGGGAGAGAGAGAGGGAGAGGGGGAGGGAGAGGGAGAGGGAGGGCGAAAGAGAGAGAGAAAAACATTGATGATGAAAGAGAATCATGGATCGGCCGTCTCCTACACATCACCCCCACTGGGGGTCAGGCCCACAACCTGGGCATGTGTCCTGACTGGGGATCGAACTATGACCTCCTGGTTCATAGGTCGATGCTCAACCCCTGAGCCATGCGAGCTGGGCTACAATTTTTTTTGTAACGCCCACATTCAGTTTGGTATTAGGTAATATTGTCCACATGAAATTCCCTTTAATCTATTCTATAAACATTTTAGCTACTTTGCTTCAAATATTATCCCTCCTACATTTTCTCTACATTCCTTGTCTATAATTTCCTTTATACATATGTTGAATCATCTAATTCCATCTTCTGGGTCTCTTAATTCTTTCTGTATTTCCATATCTTTATTTTTCTATGCTGAATTACTAGTATATATAAATTTCCCATCTCTATTTTCTAGTTCTCTAATTACCTGTTCAGCTTCATCTACTAGATGTTTAATCCATTTACCGTCCCTTATGGTGGATCATTTCTTTAGGTATCTTGTAATGCTTTATCATGGCCTCATTTTCTTTTCTTTAAAATCTTATTATAAATATGTTTTTATTTCAGAGAGAGGAAGGGAGAGGGAGACATAGAAATATCAATGTCCCCCTTCCATACACAGACTCTGATATATACCTGCCAGAACTAGAAGACCTGAGATCCTATGTCTGTCCCTGACCTCATCCCATGCCCCTGTGTTCTAGAGAAGCTGCTGTTTTCACTGTCACTGCCCACGACTGAGGCGCACACAGCCATTGGCCACCATGCTGTCCTCGGCAACCCATCTCCTCCACTGCCAGGATAGCAGGCCCCAACCCAGGCCCTGCCGCTCGGCTCCTGCTTCCTCCAGGGGCTTACTGGTGTCAGCTCAGATTTTGTGTGCTTCTCTCTGTTTTTCCTTTCCCCATCTATCCCATCTTCTGTGGCTTCTTAGCTTTTATTCACAAGAAACTGGTCACTTATAGACCTTGTGCTCAACCTTTCTGCCCAAATAGGTTTTATCATTGAACTTTTCTTGGACCCATTGTTTGAGGCTCAGGCATGTGAGCCTGGTTAGGGCATCTTCCACCAAAAGAGGGTTTTGCGCTGTGAGGCAGGGCACAGAATTAGAAGGATTCAGCTCTTACCAGGCTCAGCTCCTGGGAGATTGGTCTTTGAATAGAACAAATTTATGGTCTGACTCATGTCCATGCCTAGAGCCAGGGAAATTAAGTGTAATGAGTTCCGTTTCAAGGGGATTTGTGTGTAGGGCATCTGAAACAGTTTGGGAACATGCAAACATTTAATATTTCACAGTAGTGTGTAAAATTATAGCATACTTGTGTGTTGCAAATTGAAGGATTTTGAAAGAAAAACTATGATCTACCCAGATAGTTTATATCTTTCAAGTTATAGATATATCCTGAAATGTTAACACTGTTTCATTCTTTGTGTTTTTCCCTTTCTTCCTAGAATATTTTCCTTCTTGGATATAGTAACTTTGTGCCGATGTGCACAGATTTCCAAGGTAGGGTTATCAACCAGATTTTTCATCAGTAACTCTCAAGCTTTATTAGAATGAGGATGAATTTCAGTTCAAGTAAATAGTTAAAAATTAAAATGTCATCTTTTGTATTTAATTTAATGCACTGTTGTCATCCTATATAATAAAGAGATAATATGCAAATTGACTGTCATGCCCTCACACAAGATGGCCACCACAAAATTGCCTGCAGGGGAGGGCAGTTGGGGGTGACCAGGCCAGCAGGGGAGGGCAGTTGGGGGCAATCAAGGCTGTCAGGGAAGCAGTTAGGCATCAATCAGGCTGGCAGGGGAGTGGTTAGGGGGTGATCAGGCTGGCAGGCAGGCGAGCGGTTGAGAGCCAGCAGTCCCGGATTGTGAGAGGGATGTCCCAGATGGGAGAGGGTGCAGGCTTGGCTGAGGGGACCCCCAGCCCCCACCGTGCACAAATTTCATGCACCTGGCCTCTAGTAATTCCATATTTGATAATAAGCTTAATGTATATCAAGAATATAAGCTTGAAAACACACAGGTTGAATCAAGACTTTCTTTAATGGTCTCAATAAATGTGTCTTTCACCCCAATCCTCCTCCTTTACTCCCACCTCCCAGGCTTGGAATGTCTTAGCCCTGGATGGAAGCAACTGGCAAAAAATAGACCTTTTTAACTTTCAAACAGATGTAGAGGTAAGTTAACTGTGCTTTAGACAAAAGACTTTTTAAAAAAAATTTCTTTATTGATTAAGCTATTACATATGTGTACTTATCCTCCTATTATCCCCCTACTGTCCCCCCAAGACAAAGACTTTTTAAGAAGATAAGTGAACTCCTTCTTTCTGCATTTTTATTGTGTTGCATTTAGATTTAATATTAAGGTGGCAAAAGATAGAATTGAGTGAGGAACTTAGAACATATTTCCATGCATTAAGACTAAAATTCTACTTCTATTTTACTTTACTCTGTATTGGTAACAGATTACTTTTTTCATATTTATGATCTGAGTTTTATCTCTTAGCTTCTCAAAGCCTCACACCTGCCTCGTTAGCACCTGCTTCTGTGATTTAATATGAGGGGACTATTGACAAAAACTTGTTGATTTGAAAGAGCCACTGAGAATTCTAATTCACCGTTAAGAATGGAGAAAGGGCCCAGCCAGTGTGGCTCAGTAGTTGGACATCCACCTATGAACCAGGAGGTCACAGTTTGATTCCCGGTCAGGGCACATGCCTGGGTTGAAGCCTTGATCCCCAATAGGGCACATGTAGGAGGCAGCAGATCAGTGATTCTCAGCATTGATATTTCTCTCTCTCCCTCTCGTTTTCTCTCTGAAATCAGTAAAAATTAAAAATGAATAAATAAATAAAGACTGGAGAAAGGGCAGCAGCACGAGCCAGGAGCGATGCAAGGGTTAAGTGAAGTGTCACACCAGCTCAGCTGCTTGAGCCATGTAATTTCTCAGTGCCTTAGTTTTATTGCCTATAAAATACTCTTAAAAGCCTTTTATAATTCCAGGATTCTAGTATATTTATTTGGAGATATGTATACCTCTATTTAAGAGTAACCCTGCCAAAGCCGGTTTGGCTCAGTGGTAGAGCGTCGGTCTGCGGACTGAGAGGTCCCACGTTCGATTCCGGTCAAGGGCATGTACATTGGTTGTGGGCACATCCCCAGTAGGGGGTGTGCAAGAGGCAGCTGGTCGATGTTTCTCTCTCATCGGCGTTTCTAGCTCTCTCCCTCCCTTCCTCTTCTCCGTGAAATATCAATAAAATATATATTAAAAAAAAAAAAAAGAGTAGTTACCCTGACCAAATGAGAAATTTTATTTTATAATAGCTTTAATATTAATATTCAGTTACTGAGCTTCCTAAATTTCAGGTTATTGTTCTGTTAGATAAGCAACATGAAAAACAAAATTTCTCCCCAACTCCCTTGGTTCCAGGGTCGCGTGGTGGAGAACATCTCCAAGCGCTGCGGTGGGTTCCTGCGGCAGCTCAGCTTGCGAGGCTGTATCGGTGTCGGCGACTCCTCCCTGAAGTGAGTGGGACCTCAGGGACTCACTGGCCGCAGCAGGTCGTAGCTGACGCTTCCATCGGCGAAAATACACCAGGCCTATTGCCTGCTTTTCTTCTGTTAAATTCTTTCCTGGTGATTTGCTTAGAGCAGGAGTGGGGAACCTTTTTCTGCCAAGGGCCATTTGGATATTTATAACATCATTCGGGGCCATCCAAAATTATCGGCTTAAAAATCAGCCTGCTATATTTGGTCACACATTTGGTCACACTGGGCCAGGCCCAGTGATTTTGTGGGTGTCATACAGCCTGCAGGCCCCACCCCCTGGTGTAGTGCAGCGGGAGAAGCAGGACTTTGGAGCCAGCAGGGACAAGAACCCCAAGCTCTTTTGTGTGCACATTCAAGTTTGAGGAGCACTAGTCAACAATAACATATTGTACGCTTACATTTTTGTTTAGTGAATGTATCTCATGTTAAGTGTTCTCTGTCCAATAATATAAAAATTTTAAGTTTGAGGAGCGCTGTTCTAAATGTGAATGGTTATACACGCCCTCTAGTGGCTGCCTAGCAACTTGCAAGGAGTTTTGAAATGGGTTCTCTTTTTAGGACCTTTGCACAGAACTGCCGAAACATCGAACACTTAAACCTCAATGGGTGCACAAAAATCACTGACAGGTAAGGAGGGGTAATTAGTTTGGTTTTTGGCTAATTGGCTCTGGGGAGACAGAGAGGAGAGAAACATGGTTGAGAATATCTTTAGTGCCTCTGCTCTTTTTCAGCACGTGTTACAGTCTCAGCAGATTCTGTGCCAAGCTGAAACATCTGGATCTGACCTCCTGCGTGTCCATTACCAACAGCTCCTTAAAGGGGATCAGGTAAGAGGACCTGTTGTTTGTGGTCAAGAGAAGCCCCCTTAGCTATGAGCACCTCGGTGTATCTGACGCCTTTCTGATGGTCCCCGGGGTCCTCTCTCCCCAGCATTGCTTGTGATTTACTAAACTCAGTGTTGGCAGTGCGTTCTCTACAGGCTAGACCGCACATGCGTGGTTGTGTTTCTGTTCCCTCAGTGAGGGCTGCCGGAACCTGGAGTACCTGAACCTCTCGTGGTGCGATCAGATCACGAAGGACGGCATCGAGGCCCTGGTGCGCGGCTGCCGAGGCCTCAAGTCCCTGCTCCTGCGGGGCTGCACGCAGGTACCGGCTGGTGCAGCCGCCTTACTTCCGAGCGTCTACAGCGAGGGGTGAGCACTTTCCTTGGTGCCCCCCTGTCCTCTCACCTGGTCCCATCCCTCTTGTTTTCTCCGTTCCAGTTAGAAGATGAAGCTCTAAAACACATTCAGAATTACTGCCATGAGCTCGTGAGCCTCAACCTCCAGTCCTGCCCGGTAAGTAGCGTGCCTTTCCGCTGTGCGTGCACCCTCCCGCTCGTGTCCTCCCTCAGAAACTTCCGGGGTCCCCGACGCTCCCAGGCAGGCAGGATGGTCGCCACACCTGACCTCTTATCCTGTGTCCTTCTGTCATCTGTCCACTTGCCACAAGATGAAACAACACTGTAAACAGAAAGGCCCATACAAAACCTCTGACACTTCCCTTGTAAATGATATCGGGGTCTTGGGTTATTGAAGATATTAGGAAGGCTGTCACTAGCCTCATCAATTCATGGTAAGGCCTCAGTGTCTTTTAAAAAAAATATATTTTATTGATTTTTTACAGAGAGGAGGAGAGAGGGACAGAGTTAGAAACATCGATGAGAGAGAAACATCAATCAGCTGCCTCTTGCACACCCCCTACTGGGAATGTGCAACCAAGGTACATGCCCTTGACCGGAATGGAACCTGGGACCTCTCAGTCCGCAGGCCGACGTTCTACCACTGAGCCAAACCGGTTTCGCCCTTAGTGTCTTTTTTTAATTTATAAACTGGGGATGATGACACTTCTCATCTTGTCTCAGTAAATAAAAAGGAACAATAGACATGAGAATGCTTTAGGAATACGGGCCTGTGCCAGGGCAGGTGTCCTTCCAGCAGCGCGCCAGCCGGGAGAAGCTGCGGCTCCTCTCCCTGCCATCGGAGATGCTGTAACTAAGGAGGATGCTTCCTAATCTCCTGGTTTCTCAGGCGAGAAGTCCCTTGCATTCGGGATTTAACGCATGAATCGTTAATCTCTAGAGTCCCTGGTTATGGGAGGTAAAGGAGAAACTATCATATCTTCTGGACATACATTGACCAATGGGCCTGCAGCTGTTCAAAGTCAAACCTTGCATGTAGGCTAGCACTGGCCTTGACTTGAAATCTTATGTAATAAAACCCTAATATGCAAATTGACCAAACGGCTGAATGACACGCACTTACCACCAGGGGGCAGATGCTCAATGCTGGAGCTGCCCCCTGGTGGTCAGTGTGCTCCCACAGGAGGAGTGCTGCTCAGCCAGAAGCCGTGCTCATGGCTGGCAAGCGCAGTGGCAGCACTAAGGAGCAGTGAGCAGGTGGGCAGTAAGGAGCAAGGGGTCCCGGACTGTGAGAGGGCGCAGGCCAGGCTGAGGAACCGTCCCTCCCCTTCTCCCTGCATGATTTTCGTGCACCGGGCCTCTAGTATAACAAATGCATTTTTATCTTCACCTAAATTAGTATATTTCAATAAATATTTTGAATGTTGACTTATCAATAATTTAGTGATTTATTTAATTTTCCCATTATAGACACATAGCATTTATATGGTAGACAACTAAAGCATTAATCTATAGAAACTCAACCAGAAATTAATATCACTTAAGTAAGCTAAGTCTCATGAGCTTTTTATTTAATATGATTTTTAATATGTTGATATGGTGTTTTTTTTTGAAAATCCAATGAATCTGGGAAGGTAAGTGGAATTTTAAAATATTGCTCGCATTAGTAATGCTAGAATATGTTTAAAGCTGTGCAGAAATAACAAATACCCGCCTGCCGAGTACATCACTTTATTTTGTTTAAATTACTAGGCTGCAGTGCTGGTAACTGGCAACCTAGACCAGTGGGCCATCAGTAGATCCCCCGTTTCAGTTCCCTGTGCCTTCTGACCTGCTTCCTGTTTTGGTTCCCAGCGCATTACGGACGAAGGCGTGGTGCAGATCTGCAAGGGCTGCCCCCGGCTGCAGGCCCTCTGCCTGTCTGGCTGCGGCAACCTCACGGACGCCTCTCTATCAGCCCTGGCGCTGAACTGCCCGCGACTTCAGTGAGTGTGCATGCCTTCTGCCTGGCAGCTCAGGCTGGTGGGCCGACCAGGAGGGCTTCCGTCAGAAGGGAAAGGCTTGCCAGCTGGCAGAACAAATGCTGGCGGAGGGGGCAGTGGTTATGCTGTTGTTGGATGGGTCATTGTGGCACCCAGTTCATTTTGGAATGTAGGGGTCATGCTAAGCTGTCCACCACCAGGGAATAGGAACCTTACTGTCTTGATGGACCACCTGATTTGCCTCATCCCGTTGTTATCAGAGCCATCTGATCGTGAGCAGGATGACAGCCTCTCCCCCAAGTGTCACCAGTTTCTCCTCTAATACAGCTGCTGAATGGACAGAAGCGGGTGGGGGTCGCAAGGGAATCCCAATCGCCCTATTTATCATCTCCTAGCCAGAAGGAAAATTTTGTTTTAACAAAAAAAGACTTATTTTTTGATTGGCCACATAATACAGTGAATATGAAGTCTTTAATAATGACAACAAAATACCAGTCATAGTTAACACCTGTTGAACTCTACATTAGGCATTATCTCATTAATGTTCTGCCTTAGGCATTATCTCATTTAATCCTCATCACATCTCTAGGAGGTAGGTACTACTATTGTCACATGTGTTCCCGAGGAGAAACTGACTCCGAACCACATAATTTGTCCTGGATCACATGATGAGTAAGAAAGTAAAACTAGAGCCAAAACCGGTTTGGCTCAATGGATAGAGCGTCGGCTTGGGGACTGAAAGGTCCCAGGTTCGATTCCGGTCAGGGGCATGTACCTGGGTTGCGGGCATATCCCCAATAGGGGGTGTGCAAGAGGCAGCTGATCGATGACTCTCTCTCATCAGTGATTCTAACTCTGTATCTCTCTCCCTTCCTTTCTGTACAAAATCAATAAAATATATTAAAAAGAAAAAGAAAAAAAGAAAGTAAAACTAGAATTTGAACTTGTGGAGTCTGATTTCAAAACGAGCAGTCTTAGCCCCTTCCTATCCAATAGACCAGTGGTCGGCAAACTGTGGCTCAAGAGCCACATGTGGCTGTTTGGCCCCTTGAGTTTTTAGCAAAGGCCAGCTTAGGAGGACCCTAATTAAGTTAATAACAATGTACCTACCTATATAGTTTTAAGTTTAAAAAATGTGGCTCTCAAAGGAAATTTCAATCGTCGTACTGTTGATATTTGGCTCTGTTGATTAATGAGTTTGCCGACTACTATAATAGGCGGAAAAAAGTTGTTTATTATCTTAAATGTATTTTTTATTGATTTCAGAGAGGAAAGGAGAGGGAGAGAGAGGAACAATGATGAGAATCGTTGATCAGCTGCCTCCTGTCTGCCCCACCCTGGGGATTGGGCTCTAACCTGGGCATGTGCCCGGACCAGGAACCAAACAGTGACCTCGTGGCTCACAGGTTGATGCTCAGCCGCAGAGCCACACTGGTTGGGCTTGTTTTATTATTTTTTATTTGCCAGTGAAACTGGTTTCTCATGCTTGTATCAGTTACATCTCATATAAAGGTTTCTATTTTTGTCTTTTGCCTATTTACTGTTGATTAGGAAAGATTCTAGATACTTTTGATATTTCTGCATAAAAGGAATCTATAGGATTAAAACTTGTCAGTTTCAAATCATTGCTATAAAGCGTTTAACTTAAAAAATGTTATCTATGCATTCCTCCTATTAAGCATGGGTATTGAGAACTGACTCTGTCCCTCACTGGCTATACATTTTTAAGTTTTCCTATATGGTAACTTGAGAATTTCAGTAAATGCAATATTTATCATGATTTTTAAAAAATATATTTTATTGATTTTTTTTTACAGAGAGGAAGAGAGAGGGAGAGTTAGAAACATCGATGAGAGAGTCATCGATCAGCTGCCTCCTGCACACCCCCATCGGGGATGTGCCTGCAACCAAGATACATGCCCTTGACCGGAATCGAACCCGGGACCTTTCAGTCCGCAGGCCAATACTCTATCCACTGAGCCAAACCGGTTTTGGCTTTATCATGATTTTTTTTGAGTAAAAGTTCATTTTAATTATGTTTAAAGACAACAATATGGGGGAAATGTTTAAAAACAGCAGCAGCAGCAATGTACTGTACTGGGGAAGATTCCTGGGTTTATCATCTGCATTTCAGATGGGACTTTGGGATTCAGGGCAGGTCCCATTCCTCCCTAAGCTTTGTTCTCGGCCTTCCAGTGGGCACAGTGTCTGCGTTTACAGCTTAGGCTGTTTCTGAAGCAAGAGTGTCTAGGAGCCTCAGAGGATGCGTTTCTGTTGCTGACCAGTCGCTGTTTTTTCTCCTTTCCCAGGATTTTGGAGGCTGCCCGGTGTTCCCATTTGACCGATGCAGGCTTTACACTCTTAGCTCGGGTAAGCGGAGGCTGTAAAAACCAATCCTCACTCTGATTCACCCCCTCATTCAGAGTGACTGGGAGTGGCTTGGAGGGTGGGAAAAGTAACAGGCACCAAGTAGAGTCCTCAGGGTGCGTTGTGCCTTTTTCCCAGCTGGTCAGAAAGCTAGGGCGGTCCTAGAGGGATGTGTAGTGGGTCGGGTGGGACCACAATAGAGAAGCCGCCGCCCTGGGAGGAAATGGCCTTCCTTACACAGACCCCGACCACCCACCAGCCTCTCGGTGCTTCCCCACTGGGCTGAGCTCTGCCTTTGCAACTGCAGACTCCTGTGGGCCCCTGGCCTCTGCCAGTAACCCTCTCCTGGGGCTGCTGGCACATTCCTCCTGCACTGCCCTCAGCTGCCCAAACTGTGGCTCAGCGCCCCACTGAGGCCCTCAAAGGCCCTGTTCTGCGCTGGCACCTGTGAGGACTGGGCAGCTACCTTCCCAGGATGCGAGGAGATGCAGCCGGGGCAGCCCTACTCCCATTCCCAAATGGATGAGATTCAAAGGGCGCCTGCTTATGGGGCACTGTGGGAACAGGGCAAGCCCCTAGGACTGCCCTCACACCAACTGCGTGGTGAGGGATGTCTGTGGACTCTTTCAGAATTGCCATGATCTCGAGAAGATGGATCTGGAAGAATGTGTCCTGGTGAGTGGACCCCCTATGCCCTGCCGGGCTGCCCCTCAGCCCCTGACCGACAGCCAGGAGTAGCCAGGCACGCTGCTGGGCTGTTGTTCACGCCCTCCTTGCATAGGGTCAGGGCTGGGGAACTCATGAAGGCCCTGGCAGTGGAATGTGTAAACTTTGGACTGCCCTCAGTCATCAGCCAGCCACAGCCCAGAGGTTCAAGGTGGCTCCATTTAAAAAAAAATCAAAAAAAAAAATCTTATTTTCACAGAACGAGAGAGAAAAATAAGCTTACATGTCTAGGATGAAGTGACGACATGCAATACTGGGGGACCCTCCTTGTCCACTCCCCTTTTGTCCAAATCCTACCCATGGCCCCCTTGGGTTCCAAGGGACTGAAGAAAGCTTTGTCTCCAGCAGTGGGCAGACGAGGTTGCTGGTGAATGAGGGGCCCCTGCCTGAGTGAGATGAGTCTTTTATTCTCTTTTGCTCCTTGATGCTCATGTTCAGAAGCCAGAGTCAGGTGTTAAGTTCTGGTGTAGCAGCCACACTAACCCAGCGTGTCTCTCTCCAGATAACCGACAGCACGCTCATCCAGCTCTCCATCCACTGTCCTAACCTGCAAGCCCTGGTGAGTCCGAGTGAACAGTGCGACACTGTCTACCTCACCCAGTGGGGATCGGGGTTTCCTTCCCGGAAGATTCCATCATTCTTGGTTCCAAAGGTCTATAGGTTGGGCTAATGTGGGAGACAAGGTATCTAAATGTTACTGTTTCTCTTTAGAATAGGAACCTAATTTAGGGGCTCATGCCCTTATCACTTACGTTCCAGTTCAGTCAGGTAGAGTGAGAATTATAATAGTATGTTAACGTGATATAACCTCAGGGGAAAGATGCAAGGCCATCCTTGAGTTATATTTGCACTTCATATCTGCACATAGAAAATCCCTTCTCCATATATGCATGTATACGGAAAAGGAACTAGAATATATTCAAGCGGTCTAAATGAGCAGTGGCAAGTAGCAGTGCACCCCATGCACCTCACACCCAGCTGTTTGGAGTGGGGAGTGGGATGGAATCCTGCTCCTGGAGCAAAGCCCTGGACACTGTGCTACCTACACTCATTCAATCCCACCCACAGCCCGGAGAGACTCAGGCACTGTGGGCACGATTTTATCTGAGAGAAAAGGAAGCTCAGAGCCGTTAAGGAACCTGCCCAGAGTTACACAACTGCCAGGGTCTTCCCAGTCCTGAGATACACAACAGATTTCCTTATGCCAGTGTTCTTTGTTGTCCCTGAAGCTGGCTCTTCTCTCAAAGGCTAGAATTTTAACACCATCAAAGCTCCATTTGGCCTCAAATTACTCTCCCCACCAGTTTCCTTATTTTCACATTCACTCTGGGACTTTTTTGAGTTTGGAGTAGGAAAAAAAACCTAAAACAAACAAACAAAAAACACTAAAAAAAAAAAGGAATTTGGGGTCAAATTTCAGACATTAGTCATGAATCTACTTGTACCATTCTCTAAGCTGTTTCACCTACATATTACAGATGATTTTGTAGTCTGATATCTCTTCTCCCCAGTTGATTCAGATTTCATATAAATGAGATCATAAGGTATTCATCTCTGACATTTCACTTAGCACAATGCTCTCAGGGTCCATCCATATTGTCACAAATGGCAAGATTTTTTTTTTTTTAATGGCTGAATATGCCACTGTATGTGCATCTATCTCACATTTTCTTCACGTATCTGATAGTCACTTACGTTGTTTCCACTTCTTGCCTGTTGTCATCAATGCATATATATATCTTTTTGAATTGTTTTCATTTTCTTTGAAAACCGCAAAAGTGAAATTGCTGGATCATCTCTAATAATTGTATTTAAAAAAATTTTAACAAACCTTCTAGTTTTCACTAGTAATTGCACCAATTTACATTCCCACCAATGTAAAAGGGTTCCCTTTTTCCATTCTCATCAACACTGATTTCTTGTTTTTACAAATCATTCTATCAGGTGTGTGTTTTTATGCCAATACTGGACTGTTCTGGTTACTATAACTTTGTTAATCAGCTTAACAATAACCCACAACCTTCGGACCAACTTGGTTACTATAACTTTGTAATGTAGTATGATTTGGAGCATGCCTCCAGCTTTGTGCTTCTTAAGATTGCTTTGACTTATTAGGGTCTTTTGTGGTTCTATGCATTTTAGGATTGATGTTCTGTTTGTGAAAAATGTCATAGGATTGCATTGAATCTGTAGATTGCTTTGGGTAGTATGACCATTTCAATATTAACCCTTTGCACTCCGAACCATCTTGGACATTGGCTACCAGCTACAAACTCAATTCCCGTAATCACTAATAAACTGCAGTCTCCCCTGAGAGGGGACATCTGAATGATATGCTAGAATTCCGATGCCCCCTGAGAGGAGACAGCGGAGTGCAAAGGGTTAATTTTCTAGCATGGAATTTGTGTCCTCAATTTCTTTCATCTATGCCTAATAGCTTTCAGTATATAGGCCTTTTACATTCTGGTTAAATTTATGTGTTTTTTGTGTTTTTCCAGAGAAGAAGGGAGAGGGATAGAGAGTTAAAAACATTAAGAAACACCAATCAGCTGCCTCCTGCACACCCCCTACTAGGGCTATGCTCACAACCAAAGTACTTACCTTGACTAGAATCGAACCTGGGACCTTTCAGGCCAACGCTCTATCCATTGAGCCAAACCGGTTAGAGCTAAGTGGGATTTTCTTAATTTCTTTCTGATTATTAGTGTATAGAAATGTAACATATTTTTGTATATTGTTTTTGTGTCCTGCAACTTTACTGAATGGTTTGTTAGTTGTATTGTGTATCCCACCAGGCTGCAGCTGATCGGCCTTTCACTGAAAGACAGCTCCTGTTGGTTCTTTGTGCCCTCGAGGGGGCAGCTGTTTAAGAACTCTTTCTCTGTTGCTTACAGTCCTGGGCCACCAAAGCCAAGGGATGTAGGTGTCCCCTGGCGGCAGCCACAATAACGGGGCCACAGACATGTAGACAATGGTGCCCACCAGGAAAGGAAAAGCAGCTCTGTTTTAAATGGCATCTTCCAGGTAGAGAAAGGCAGGAATGCAAAGATGGCACCCACTAGTCTCCACCTCCAAAGCTCGGCCGCCCTAGCTTTCCCCCACATGCGTGTTAATCAGATGCCTAACCCTCAGGCTGGTGCTCCTCCCCCTTTGCCCAAGGTCCCTCTACTGGCCGTTCCCACGCTGAGCCCTGGTGCAGGGGATCATTTATGATCTGCTGCAATCTTGTGGCTTTGAGCCTGTTGGTTTTCAAAGCTAGTTCTTTTGGGGGCCTGTCACTCAGGTGTCTTAAAAGTCAGGGGGCAGGGGCAATGTGGGTTTTTAACCCTTCCCTCCCCAGGGAGAAGCTCCAGGTTTGGGTGCACCCTGACTCTTGCACTGCAAGTGGCTTTTATGGTGAGATTGTGTCCCAGCCCCTCCTACTTGTCACAGGCCTTCCCTCATGGTCCAATGTGTAGGGGGCACTAAGCCAGTTTTTAGGCTATTTTTCAGAGGAAGTTGTTCAAGTGTAGCTGTAGATTGTACGTGGAGGTGAGCTTAGGATTGAACCAGACCATCCCCGGCAATTCTGACTTGCTTTTATATTCAGGAAGTGAGAGAAACCACTCCCCAGCTGCAGTAGTCCCAGGGCCAAAAGGCCCAGGCTTTGTATTGACCCTGTAGATACGCGTCTGCTCCCTGCTTTTCCCAGGCCATAGCATTGGAATGAGGGTGCTGCAAAAACGTTGTCCTCTCCCTGCTGCAGAGCCTGTCCCATTGTGAGCTCATCACAGATGATGGAATCCTGCACCTGAGCAATAGCTCCTGTGGCCAGGAGAGGCTGCAAGTACTGGAATTGGACAACTGCCTCCTCATCACCGACATGGCCCTGGAGCACCTGGAGCACTGCCAGGGCCTAGAGCGCCTGGAGCTGTACGACTGCCAGCAGGTGACCCGCGCAGGCATCAAGCGGATGCGGGTAGGTGTGGATGGGAGCCGTACACATGGCACCTTTTTTTTTTTTTAAAATATATTTTATTGATTTTGTACAGAGAAGGAAGGGAGAGAGAGAGCTAGAAACATCGATGAGAGAGAAACATAGACCAGCTGCCTCTTGCACACCCCCTACTGGGGATGTGCCTGCAACCAATGTACATGCCCTTGACCAGAATTGAACCTGGGACCTTTCAGTCCGCAGACCGATGCTCTATCCACTGAGCCAGACCGGTTGTGGCACCTGGCACAGTTTCTAAGCAAGCAACAAACAAACAAGAATCCACATGCATGTTCTAACACTCCCAAGTCTAAATGTCTCCTGAGACTTTAGAAATTCCTTAACCAGCCTGGGTTCCACGTAGTCTGGTGATCAGCACTTACAAGAAAGGTGTCTGAGGTCATTACCAGTAGGAGGTAGATGTGGTCTTGGCTAATTTCCAGGAGAGAGCACTTAATAGAATGTGGCTTGCTTTTTCTACAATAGTAATCTACATTGTTTTCTTGAACATGCTACGTTTTTAACTTTGCATTTACAGACCAAAGCTGCCCCAGGATGCTACAGCTGGCGGGAACTCCACTGGGGGCCAGTGACTACCCAGGGGCAGAAATATTCTTGGTTTTCCTTTGTCTTTGAAGGTGCTTAGGGGATGGATTATGTAAACAGGAGTAGCTCTAGCCTACCCCGAAATTATTTTTTATTTTATTGATTTTTTTTTACAGAGAGTAAGAGAGAGAGAAACATCAACCAGCTGCCTCCTGCACACCCCCTACCGGGGATGTGCCTGCAACCAAGGTACATGCCCCTGACCGGAATTGAACCTGGGACCTTTCAGTCCGCAGACCAACACTCTATCCACTGAGCCAAACCGGTTTCGGCCCGAAATTATTTTTGCACTATTTGCCTGATAGTAAAGGAAAGCCAATTCCCCGTGGAGAACTACGGGCTTTTCTAGGACTGTTTATAATTCCAAAAATAGCAGTGACAAGATTATTCCACCTTTTTCTTCTGTTTCCAGGCTCAGCTCCCTCACGTCAAAGTCCATGCCTACTTTGCACCTGTCACCCCACCGACAGCAGTGGGAGGCAGTGGCCATCGGCTGTGCAGGTGTTGTGTCATTCTCTGACAGAGCTGCGGGGCCCAACTCCAGAGAAGACCTGAGTCTCCCCTCCCTTCTCCATGGTCACCGAAATCTGTTGCTTCTCCATTGGGAAAGGTATTTACAGGTAAAAGACTTCTGTAGGGATTGCAGTAACTTTGGCGATAAGTTTTGACTTTGTAGTTTGCTGCGATACAATCAAATCAAGCCTTGTCAGTAAACACACAGCAAGAGTGGATTCAGTGCAGCCAGGACCGTGCAAGAAACCGGGTTTCTTAACAAGGTGGGTTTACCTTCCTAGTGGCAAGCGTTCTGTTCTCAGCTTTGTCAGCATTCCTCAGACCATCAGTGTTAGCACAAAAACGAAGCTGTTGATTTCTGATAATTAAGATAGTGGCCTACTTTTAATTCACAACAATTCCATTTTGTCTAGCAGGGCTTTCCCACTTTGATGTACCTTTATCAAAGTGACTGTACTGCAAATTCGTAATACCTAATAGTTTTGTATGTGGAAGGCATGTTAAGAAGTTTCTATGAGACACCAAAGAAATGAGGACTCTACACTGGGTGAAGCTGGGTCTTCACCTATTTGTCAACTTGGGGACCAAAACTAAACAGTAAACTCAGAGTTCATGTTGCCTGTTTGGAAATTAGAAGCTCTGGTGTAAGCTACAGCACAGTTTTATTATAGGAGAAAAGCAATAGAATTGAATAAGGCTTCAGTTATAATAAAAAATGAATGGATGCATGTAGAATGGGTGTAATTTTTTCCAAGTTTATTTTAAAATCTTAGAAATCAAGTTACACCAGAACTAGTCAAAAGTTTTATACATTTAAAACTCAGATCAGTCAAGTGTTGGCACCTTTTAGATTCAAAATATAAAAATGAATAAAACCATTTGCAACACTTAAACCAGAGGGTTTTATTGCTATAGATAGTCTATGGCAGGGAAATCTGAGCAAAAAAAACTTTCCAAATTCAAATCTTCCTAATGTTACCTAAGCATCTGATAAGATGATCTAGTTTCTGCCTGTGCTGTCCACATTTGTGATCTTTCTTAATTAAAACTAGGAACCCATCACCACCCTTCCTAGCCTGGAATCCAGAGCTTGTGAGAAGTGAAACAGTAAACGAGGTGTTCTTTTCCTAGGACTAGCAGTACTTCTAGGTGGGCAGTTTTAGAGGTATTCAGGACACAATACCTCAGCTGCTTCTAGGAAGAGAGGGCTTACCTAGAACTCCTTAAGTCAATTTAATGGGATTATCAGAATAAGCATTCAAGTCTTGATTTTATTGCTTTATGATATACTCTGGTATTCACAGGTCTAAAAATTGTGTGTATGCCACAGTAGTTATTTAAATATACATTTGCAACACCGTGTGGGGGAGAAATGACTGATGCTATTTAAATAAAACAAAACATATACCACAGACCTGCTTCAGTGATTATGAATTAGTTTCTATTTTATGGAAATGGGCCTTCTATACATTATCTCCCTTGAGCCAGGACACAATCTATCACAACTACTTTTCAATGACCCATTTATAACAGAAGAACCTCTAATAAAAAAGTTACTGGAATAACATTACCTCTCCGTTGCAGCAGCTTTGAGAAAACCACCTGGGTCTCAACCTTTACAACATTTGGACTGGTGTGTCCTCAGAACACACATGTGGAGCCTCTGTCCTGCGGCAGGAGCTGGGATTTCAAAATGACACACACACTTGCAAAACAATCGGAAAACATTTATTATACTGAAATGTATACATCCTACTATTAAAAAAACAAAGTAGCAAATCTGCTGGTGCCATAATTTAACTTATTTCACTGGGACAGACTAATGCTCAACACCAGTTGGTGTGTGATTTCAAGTTTGATGAGTTTTTTTTACTCCACTTCTAAACCCTACGAGGAACTCAGAAAAGCACACAGCATTGAATAACATTTATTGTTCCATAAGTCTTGAGACTCAAAAAAGGAATGCTAAATCAACAAGCAAAACTAAAACAACAGAAACTCTCTTCTTTCCCAAGTGATTGGTACAGAAAACGTGCTCATACAAAAGCAAAGGGAACACGACAGAAAGGAAGGCTCTCCTGCTTTGTGGCCTATAAGAGATAGCTATTTTAAAACCAAAGATGGAAACAGACACAGTGCTTCTTTGTATTAGACACCCCCCCTCCCCAATGAATAGAACAGTCAAGCTTTAAATCACTGAAGTAGTTCATCTTCTAGGAAAGATATTAAATTCAAAATGACTCATTCCTATTTCTGCCCAAACAAAGGATCAAATAATACATTCAAAACCAAGACACCTGGGTAAATGGACAGAGATGCTATAATTAAAATAGAATTGGAGTTTAAAAACAAGCTGGGTGTGCTACACCACAGGCCTTACCAGTTCTTGCTGAGGAATTTTGGGAAAGGCTTTAGACAAAGGGAAGAGAAAAAGTAGGAAAAATTGCAAAAACAGAGGGTTCTCTTTGTTAAATACACTGGCTGACAAGTTGGTTTTGTGAAAAGAGACTTTTTTATAGAAAAAGAAACAATAATGTGGTGTATAAAAAGCCTCTAAATAATCAGCAGAACGTTTACTCATGATTGTACCAAAGCTCAATATTTGAGAAGTGTAAGGAGTTACATGATACAATTTAGTGTGACTTATGATGTCTAGTGTTCCAAGAATAATTTCAACTTCATAAAGACTCCTTGACACCATGTCGGAACCTATACTTTTTCTCCTGCTTACCTATTTCCGATGTCTGGGGTCAGGCTTTAAAAATGTTTAAGAGGGAGGATGGTGTGGGGGTGAGTTGGGGAGGGCAGTCGAAGACAGAGGGAGGAAGGAAAAAGAAAGAAAACCACATAATTTAAAAAAGGCAATGGGGCTTTAAAAATGAAAACCAGAAATAAAATGCTAAAAATGGGAGCAGAAGCAAAAGTTTTTCATTAAATCTGTGACAAAGCAAAAACACAAAGTCTTTGTACCTATTAGGATTTACACTGATCCTCTCACCAAGGTACTCTTGATAATGCAGCTCGCTTCCAGCCAGTCTTCCTGCGTGGCTCTTCCCAACCTGGCATGATCACGTGAGACGCACACCCTTAGACACGCTTCTTCCGAGAAGGGCCAAGCCTCTTACCTGACCACCAGTCACTGTATCAGCACACCGCATCTCCGCAGACAGGCTCCCTGCTGGCGCCACAGCGGCACTGTCCCCAGGTCAGCAGGAGGTTCAGGCCAAAACTGGCACAGAAAGGTAAATGCCCACAGTAGGTTTTTACATTCATTTCCAAACCGCATACAGTGTAAGAAGACAGCCAAGGCTGCTTCGAGGAACTCTTATCTCCTGGCCTCTGCCAGAGGCAGGCAGGCAGCCTGCGCCGTGGCCCAGAGCGGGCGTGCTGTCCGGTGTGCTCACTCTCATGAGGATGCTTGGCTATGGCAGTGACAGTGAGGAGATTCGCCTCTCGTACAGCTCGTTAGAAAGGTCATCTTGTGTTTTCAATATGAAACATTCATATAGTAAAATCCAATCCCAAGACTTCTTGGATTCAGTCTTCACACACTTTTAAGCGTGACTTTATTTGGTAACGAATATAGTTCAGACTATTTAAGAAATCACTTCAAAATTATGTGGATACCTCCACTATTTTCAACTGCGGAAAAAGGAAAAAGAAATTACAAAATTACAGCTTTTTTTTTTTTTTAAAGCCAGATTTAGGAAAATCAGGACTATTCAATTGAAACTCGCAAAAAGTGACAACCTCTTCCTGGTTCATGTTATCTTTAAATAATTCTACAAAAAAAAAAAAAAAACCCAAAACCACTGGTTAACCTGCTCTGGCTCCTCTTCCCTAAGTTAGCTTCGTGCACACATTTGCTTTCTGGTGTCTGGCTAATACTCCCAACAGCACCCTGCGCCGATACTATTGTACCTGCCAGTAAGGGGCTGGAGGAGGGGGTATTAAGACACACAGCAAAGCGCTGTCCGCAGGGGGACAAGAGCGGGAGGCAGGACAGTCGGCTCTCTACAAAACAATAAATAAACAGAGGGCTGATATTCACCCTTTCTAGAAATGATTTTTGAACTCCGCAGCATTTAAAAACACATTGCTACTTTTGCCGAATGCCCTCGTGTTCTCAGGAAATGCGGAGAGGAGACGCAGTACAGGCATCCATCAAGAACAAATGAATTTTTTCATGAGCACAAATTTGGAAGAACAGTGCCCTGAGGTTGGAGTGGATATCCTATGATGCCTGACATTGGGAATGTCCCCCACTTGCTCAGAACACAACCACACAAGTAGTTCAGTGTGCATTTCCTTCTTTAGATAATGTGAGTTTTGTAGAGTAAAAACTATTGCTCTGAGAACAAAAAATTGAGAAGGGTATCAAGTTGAAGATGTTTGTGAATAAAGGATAAAGTGGATCAGTTTACAGTTAAACTCAGCATTGCAAGTAACTTGATACCACTTGCCAGGCAAAAAGTGAAATGGTAATTTTAGCACTGTTTTGGGCGAATCCCTTCAAGAGCATTCTTTGAAATGCAGCTTCTGTGCTAAGACTAGATTCAGATTTGCACCTGTCAGACTTTTAAAAACAATTTTGCATTTAAAAATACCTTCTTACAGCCGGGACTGGTTTGGCTCAGTGGATAGAGCGTCAGCCTGCGGACTGAAAGGTCCTGGGTACGATTCCGGTCAAGGGCATGTACCTTGGTTGTGGGCACATCCCCAGTAGGGGGTGTGCAAGAGGCAGCTGATCGATGATTTTCATCGATGTTTCTTTTTTCTTTTTCTTTTTTTTAAATATATACTTTATTGATTTTGTACAGAGAAGAAGGGAGAGAGATAGAGAGTTAGAAACATCGATGAGAGAGAGTCATCGATCAGCTGCCTCTTGCACACCCCCTACTGGGGATATGCCTGCAACCAACGTACATGCCCTTGACCGGAATCGAACCCGGGACCCTTCAGTCCCCAAGCCGACGCTCTATCCATTGAGCCAAACCAGTCTTGGCTCTCATCGATGTTTCTAACTCTCTCTTCCTCTCTGTGAAAAATCAATAAAATATATATTTTTAAAAAAATACCTTCTTACAGAATACTGTAAACACAATCTTTAAAATGGCAATAAGTACATATCAATAATTAAATATAGCCAGGACCGGTTTGGCTCAATGGATAGAGCGTCGGCTTGGGGACTGAAGGGTCCCGGGTTCGATTCCGGTCAAGGGCATGTACCTTGGTTGCGGGCATATCCCCAGTAGGTGGTGTGCAAGAGGCAGCTGATCGATGACTCTCTCTCATCGATGTTTCTAACTCTCTATCTCTCTCCCTTCCTCTCTGTATAAAATCAATAAAATATTTTTTTTAATTAAATATAAATAGACACATGCACCAATAAAAAGACACAGGATGGCTGAATGGATTAAAAATCATAACCCATCTATATGCTACTTCCAAGAGACCCACTTACAATTGAAAGACAGGCTGAAAGTGAAGGGATGGAAAAATATTCCACACAAACAGAAATTAAAAGCCGGACTAAGCAATACTTGACAAAATAGTCTTTAAAATAAAAAATGGAGGCCCTGGCTGGTAGCTCAGTTGGTTAGAGCACGGTCCCAATAGGCCAAGGTTGTGGGTTTGAGTCCCTGGTCAAGGCACATACAAGAAGCAACCAATCAATGTATAAATATATGGAACATAATTTTACATGAGTCAACTCAAGAAGAGGATAAAACAATAGTAAACACCTAATACCCAACACAGGAAGGCACACCTAAATATATAAGGCAATTAGGGAGACATCCACGGTAATACAATAATAGCAGGGGGTTTTAATATCCCATTCATATCAATGGATAGATCATCCAGTCAGAAAACTAAAAAAATAATGGTCTTGGATGTCACATTAGATAAGATCGGCTTAATAGACATTAATAGAATACAGATTTTTTTCCAAGTGCACATTGAACATTCTCCAATTTAGATCATGTCAGGCCACCAAACAAGCCTCAAATTCAGGAAGACTGAAGTCATACCAAATATCTGTTCTAACCACAATGGCATATAACCAGAAATCAGCTACGGAAAAAAAAACCTGAGAACACCCCTCCACAAATGTGGAGGCTAAACAAACAACATTCTAATAACCAATGGGTCAAAGAGAAAATCAAACGAGATAAAAAACTATTTTGATCCCTTCCCCCAAATGAAAACGCAACTTTTTAAAAAACTTATGGGATGCAGCAAAAGCAGTACTGAGAAGTTCCCAGTTGTACAGTTCTACCTCAAGAAAAATCCCATATAATTTAACTTTTCACTTTTAAAGGTACTAACTAGAACCAACAAAATCCAAAGTAAAACCCTTTCTCTTTTCCTAACCCTTTCCATGGGACTCACTTGTGCCAGGTCTTGACCCTCTTTCAGTTTCACTCTTTAAAGGTCATCGATGATTTCTACAGCTCCGAGTCACCACTGACATCTCAAGCCCAGGCCTGAGACAGAGGTAATTAAATGCCAACTTGACATTGCGACAGATCTACTATACAACGGAACTCTGGACTGTTTTCCCCTCCAAATCTGCCTCTGCTGGGACCACTGCCCACTCTTCCAAGAGTAACGACCATCAACTGGAGTCCAGCAGAACCCTGTTCATAATGTGCAAGATCCCTCCACCTCTCACCTACGTGACATCTCCTGCCTCATCTTCCCACCTTCCCACCTGTCTCCAGAGTTGCAAGAGTGAAAGAAAAATCTCAATCACCCTTTGTTTAAACAACTTCACTGACTTCAAAGGTACATCCAAATAAAATCTAAACTGCCACCAGGTCTTACATACCAGACTCTGCTTCTCGCCTTGTCTCCATCTTGTTCTGCCCATCCCTCACACACTGTATAGTAGCAACATGGTCGCTTAGGCCTCCTAAGAAGCCAACATCTTTCCTTCGCACACCGCTTTGCGATACTCCTCATAGGGCCAATCCCTTCTCACTCTTCAATTATCAGCATTAATGATAGCACCTCAGAGAGGCCTTGCCCACCAGCTTCATGTCCCCCTACCCAGATTCCCCTCATCCATAAACTCCCTACACTTTCCCACTCCTCCATGGCACTGAAAATATTTGTGATTATGTGCATCTGTTGGTTGGCTGATTCTGATTTGCTTTTCCCACTATAGTAAGTTCAAGATTTGTCTAGCATCACAAGCATGGTGGCTGACAAAGGTGCTCAGTAAAAGGTTGGCTGAACAAACTGAGACATCCTCCTCTCCCCTCCCCCCCAAATGAGGTATGACTTCTCTTCCTTGTTGACTAGTTAATATTTATTACAACCCTTAGAAACATTCAGAAAACGTCTGAATTCATTTCTCAAACTCTTCTTAAAATTAGTAAAGCCAGCATTTCAAAAATAAACACACAAGATGAGAGATTACAAGCACACACTATTTTTCATGCCGCCAGCATTTCAAGACACATGCACACATTCAAAATACCTTTTACTGTGGAGAATAAAAAACAACTCTCATCTTGAAAGTTCTGAACCATCTAGAAGGAGAAAGCAGATGTGGTTAAGATCCAACTGTCCCTTTGTAACCGGTTAAAATTTGCAGTTAAAGGAAAATAGTATAATCTGTATACTATACATTGCTGTACAAGCACAGGATTCGACAGCCAGAAGGGTAGCTAGCGGGCGAATGCAGGTGAGTGGTAACGCTTTATACCTGCTGCCCTGGCAGCAGTGCCTGCTCATGATGGTCCCTGAGGACCTAGTCAGTCGGCCATCTGACCCCCCTGGGGAGCATCCCTGCTGGGTCCTGGAATAACTGACAAAGAGTCACTGCATAAGTGCTCTTCTATTATCACTTGTCACTGAACACTGGAGGAAAAAAACTATACTTCTAATCTGCTTAGTATATTAGTCATCAAATAGCGGGCAAAAGGAAACCCATCCAAATGCCCCTCTCCATAAAAGGGGTGAAAGCCCACTAATCTGCAGTCCCCCTAAGGGGGTGTCTGGATTACAAGGGGAGGGAGGAGAGCCAGTTATCCTTGATGTGTATTCCTTAGGATCACCAGCATACCTGAAACTCTTGGTTATATAGTCTTACAAATTTTGATCCCAACTCTCTGAAAAGGATTTTCATGAGTACTTGTAACAGAGGTCACAGAATTTTTCTATAGTTCTTCAGCGATATAACTGTGAATGGGAAAAGCAAACGGGCATGCCAGTTCAAGTTACCTGATCACTAACAAGAATGTGAATACCAGTGGGACCCTGTCTGTAAACCTGGTTAATCTGGTGGAACGGAATATTGAACACCAACGCAAGTTTTCGAGCAACTTCTGAGGCAACCATTTCTTCCAAGTAGATTGCATGATAAACTGAAATAAATAAAAAACACACATAACAGCATTTTAGCAGTAATCTTTTATCTGTTTTCCACCTTGATCTATAGTAAGATTACGTATAAACATTAAAATAATTTCTGTAAAAAAGGATCAGCAGTTTTAATTTTTCTTGAAAACAAATAGGAGTTGACTGCAAATGGGCCAGGGGACCTTTCTGGAGTAATGAAACGAAAACGGGATTGTGGTGATGGCTGCAAAACTGCACATTGACTGGAACATCACTGAATCATACCATTACAACGGGAGGCTGTGGAATATCAATTATACCTGAAGGAAACTCTTAAAAAAAAGTTTCTAGCAATATAGTTTAAAAACAAAAACCTAAGGAGGTCATAGTTTTTGATTCAGGAGGCCTATGAATGGGAGTTTATCCATTTATCCTAAGGAATAAAAACCGCCTCCCCACTCCCTATTAAACCCAGTATAAGAAAAGCGAAGGATGTGGACCATGAAGCCTTCTGCTACTCTACAGAGGATCCCAGGTGAGTCCACCTAATATCCTGTTTCTTTCTGGAACATGTAATCTAGCAGCGGCTCTGTTGGCACAGCACCAAGCACATCTGCAGTGGGTCTGACTCTTGTAGGTCAAGCTCAATTACTAGTGATTCAAGCCAGACATTGATCAGTGCCAGAGCTTTGCTTTTCAAACAAGGGGAACCTCTGCCAATCATACATCATGAAAAGCTTAGAATTTGGAACTATAATCAGAGGAAGACTATAGAGATGTTGAGTAGGGTCACCAAACTATAGCCTATGTTGGTCAAACCTGCCCTCCACTTGTTGTTTCAAAAATGAAATGTTGCCGAAACTGGTTTTGCTCAGTGGATGGAGCGTCGGTCTGCGGACTGAATGAAGCGTCCCAGGTTCAATTCCGATCAAGGGCATGTACATTGGTTGCGGGCACATCCCTGGTGTGGGGTGTGCAGGAGGCAGCTGGTCTATGTCTCTCTCTCATTGATGTTTCTAGCTCTCTATCTCTCTCCTCTCTCTTCCTCTATGTAAAAAAAAAAATCAAAAAAAAAATATATATATATATATTTTAAAATGAAATGTTATCAGAACATAGTCACACCTACCTTCTACATACTGTGGGTTTGATGCTATGATGCAGAGCTGAGTGGGAAAAAGGCCCTATAGTCTGTGAGGTTGAAATATTGACTACCTACTTAGCCTTTAACAAAATGTTTGCCGACCCTAATCTAGGGTTAAGTTTTTCTGTATTTCCACGTACACCTACCCAACACTCATGTCTGAGGATATACCTTCCAGAATATTACTATCCTGACCATATATAAATGGTGGAGAAGAGCTTGATGACAGGCAGAGCTCCCTTAGAACTTTTAGCCTTTAAGACTTTGTACCTTTAGTCTTATAATAAAATTCACAGTTTTTGAAGTCAAAATGACACCAAATGGGAAAAAATCATAACAGTAAATGCTTTCCTTGGGATGTTTACTAAAATTCAAATCACAAAGCAGTTTTCAGAGCTCTATGCAATATGAGGGCAAATAACTGCCTCTCTGAATTCCATGGCACACTTCTCCCTGGACAGTTATTAGTGGGTTGCCCTTATTTTGTTTCAGAATGTGGGAAGAGGGGAGGGAATGACCACATATCCTCTTTACAAACGAGAGCACATACGCTTTAAAACATTAAGAATACACATGCTTTTCCCCCCTTCTACAGACTATATTAGGAGGAAGGGAGAAGGGCCATGATTTTTATCTCTGCCCCGATCCACTCTATTACACAATCAAGGACACCTCCCAGCACTCGGATGACCATGACATAGAGTATGCTTAGTGACACAGCTCACAGTGCTGGATTCAGCTCTGACACATGGGTGCATCTTTACACAGGTGATATTTTTACTTTTCTCCCACAGTCAGTAAAATGATTTTTTTTTTTTAAAAAAAAGAAAACAAAACCCTTCTCCTTTCTAGTTAAGACACAAACGTCATCATACTCATGGCACCTGAGGGGTTTCTTTTTAAAGGCAGCAAGCTAGTCTTTGGCTTGTTAGGTATTTCTGGCGTAAGGAGCCATAAAGGGCCATGTAAAAAGAGCTCTACCATGTGGCAGACATGACTGAGACAGGCCGATAGTTCCTTACTCTCCAGAAGACTCGGCCCTGGAGCTCATTGCTGCCAGGTCTCCCACAACAGCAACTCTGCAGAACTAACAGGACAGGGGTCCTTCCAAGCCCCGCTTACAGCTCAGCGTCAGAAAGGGAGTGACAGGAAGCTGAGATACCCTCCATACCCACCGTAGGGTGTCCCACTGCCATTCTCGGCTCCGCTGCCTGCAGCCTGCTGCTGCCCTTGCAGCAGTGAGCTGCCCGGCTGCTCCTGACAGACATAGATGGTTAAGCGGGGCCTAACCGACCTGCAATCACAAGATGCCACTCATGAGCCAGGAGAGAAAGCCGCCTCACCACATGTACAAATGGCAATTACAGGAATCTAAGTTCTATTTCCTTATGAGAACTTTACAATTTCATTATACAAAATAAATTACTAATAAAAATATAAAAACACACACCTCACACCAACTATCACAGGTGGTCTAATCTGATGATCCAGACTCTAAACCACTGAGATGGTCTGTCAGATGCTGGTAAATTTAAGTTCCAAGATTAAGTCAGCAATTTAAGATCAGTAAGATTCAGTTTTAATGGAATTCTCACACAAGTCTAGAAATAGCAATAATAGTATATGAATCTAAAAATCCAGCAGTTTACGGTTCTTTCATTTTAATTCACAATCAGAAGTTTACATTTTTAACAACTGTTTAGTAGTAGTCATATGACCTTGAAAACCATAGATTCTGTATAGCTCACCTAAATGAGAAGTTTGTTTTCTTGGCAACAAACCCAGTCGTCTTCAAGAAATCAGTACTGCCCATGTGCATTTCTACCAGTCTTACAGTCTATCTGCCCTCATCAGTGCCTGCATCAAATCTGGGCCTGCCCTGAAGGTGTACACAAAACAGTCTTCTTGTGAGCGTGACACTGCCGAGGATCGACAGCGCACACAGGCACACGCCAACCCAGTGTGGAAACCCATTCTGCCCCAGTCCCCACACAAGGAAAGGCACATAGACATTCCTTTAAACACAGTATTTTACCTTGACTTCAGTGAATTATACAGCCGAATTCCATCGGCTGCCCCACAAATTTGTACTAAATCTTCCTTTGTCAGTTTTAATAAGTCGGCACCTGGAAAACAGCATAAAGAGATTCCTCTCAAAGAAATGGAAAAAGAACTAGCAGATTAGTGGCTTTATGACATCTATCTTCACACAGATGACCTTCAAAACCATCACAGGTCTCCTGTGTGTATAATTACACAACATAAACACATACACACACACACACACACACACACACACACACCCGTTTCTCAGAACCAAGTGCTGGCTCTTCCATGTCCTATATGAGGAAGGAGCTTAGAAGGCCAGAGGCTGATAAATCAGAACAATGAGCAGGGCTGACAGGAGTGTCTGTTCCAACACAGGATTTCACCGCCTGCATTATTCTGGATGTGTGGTGGTTGTATGGATAACCATGATTCTGACCTCAGATAATTGACCTTGCGATCACCCAGACCAATCTTATTTTACAAAAAAATAAAATGTAAGTCCAGAGTTTGGGAACTTGCCTAAGGCAACACAAGTTGGAAGGACACCAGGCCCCTCTGTACCAAGCAATGTCAAGTCAAGCACTCTGTAACCAGCAGCCAGTGTTAATATGAAAGTATGGCAGAGATGCCAAAACTGGCTCGGTGGATAGTGTCAGCCTGCCGACTGAAAGGTCCCAGGTTCAATTCCAGTCAAGGGCATGTACCTTGGTTCCGGGCACATCCCCAGTAGGGGGTGTGCAAGAGGCAGCTGATAGAGTTAGAAACATCAGTGAGAGAATCATCTATATATCTCTCTTCCTCTCTGTAAAAAATCAATAAAATATATATTTTTTAAAAGAAGCATGGCAGAGAAACAGTAATATACTGTAAGATTCCCCCACAAATATTTGGTAAGTGTAAATGACATATCTAGATTTGCTATAAACTACAACACAAAAGGGAGAGGGAGAGACTAAGAAGAATAAGACTGATCAGTAAACTGGTCATTTCTGAAACTGGAGATGGTTACACGGGTCCATCATTTCTTCTCTCTACTCTTTATGTGTGAATGTATCCCATCATCTTTTGTTTTTTGTTCCACTTTTATTAACACTCACGGTGTAGTTTACTGTGAGAAATGAGATGCCCTCTGGGATTAAGGCATGACTTCCATGTGACAAACATCCACTTACCTATGTGACTAGATAATGGGGTTATCTTTCTTTTTTTTGAGGGTTTGAATGTGAGCGCCTAATAACTTTACAAGTTTGTAAAAGAACTACAGATGAGAGAAGCACATTTCTCGTGAGGTACTAGCGTTGATGGAATCAGTTAAACAGAGACAGGCTCTCTCGTCTCCCTTCTGGGGACAACTACATGCCTCTCAGTGTGACCAGAGATGAGTGTGTGCACATCCTTAACCCTCCACAGACCTGGACACATACTCATGTGCACAACCCTCTCCGAAATGTGAATGCGCAGGCGGCTCAGAGAAGGACCTCAGTCTCCTCCTCACCATTGTTCTGTGGGGAAGCTCCCAGGGCAGAGGCCAGAGGCCAAGCCACACGGTCACTGGTCACACTGCAAGAGTTCCGAATTCTCCAGACAGAAACATGGACCTAATCTAACAGGCGTAATCTACGACCTCCCTCAGCTCCAACGGTCAGAGTTTTATGTGTGGGTTTTACTCTTCATCTGTCTTTTTTTTTTTTTTTTAAATGTATTTTTTCTTATTTCAGAGAGGGAGAGAGAAACATCCCTCTCTGAATGGCTGCCTCCTGCATGTCCTCTACTGGAGACTGAGGCCACAGCCCAGGTATTTGCCCTTGACTGAAATAGAATCTGGGACCCTTCAGTCCACAGGTCAACGCTCTATCCACTGAGTCAAACCAGCTAGGGCCATCTGTCTTCTTCATAGGAGTTCAAAATGTGTTTCCCTCTCACACAGTGAAATTTTTAAATTTCCAGTTTCTGCTTAGTCAAAGAAATGAGGCTGGTAGCACATGACTTTCACCCAGTACTTCAGAGAGACAAAAACTACATGTGAATTGGCTGATCATCCATAGGAAAGGAGGCCACATCCTTCGTGAAATCAAGCTTTCCTCCTGGCCAGACATGTGCGTACGCTCTGTCCTCTTACAAGGCTCAAGCTACATGTTTCTCACCACAGCCCTGCGGGCACTTTCCTGTGGCTCACTGTTTCTCAGAACACACTGGTCAGTGTCTTGTAGGAAAAGGGTTCCAGGGACAAATATGTTTGGGGAAAATCTCCCACCTGGTGTATCTATTACTGTCCCTCTAAATCACGTGTCAAACACAAGGCCTGCGGGCCAAATCCGTCCCGCCAGGCCTTGCAATGTGGCCCGCACCGCACTGTCATCACTGCACTCCGCTGCGTTTCCATCACAATGACAGTTTATGACTGTTCAGTTAACCATTCGGCCCGCCATTTAGGCTGGATTTTAGATTTTGGCCCCTTCTCTGATTGAGTTCGACACCCCTACTCTAAATAGTTTTCTCCTGTTCAACTGCTTAATCCCTGTTAAAATCCCAGTAAACATTCTCTTCACTTACTATGCATGACTACACTAAAGTACTATAAAAACCATCCCTGAGCAGTTCATGCCATGCAATACTACACAGCAAGAAAGAGGAGCAAACTACTGATACACACAAACACCTGGAGAGACTTACACTGAGTGAAAAGAAAGCCAATCTCAACAGGTCACATACTGTATGATTCTATTTATAACATTCTTAAAATGACAAAATAGCGACAGAGAACAGATTAATGGTTGCCAGGGATCAGGGATGGGGGTTTGGGGGTTTAGGGCTGCATAGGGGAAATCCTTGTGATGGCGTATCTCTCTTCGTATCTTCAGTGGTGGTTATACAAATCTATGCATGTGATATATGACACAGAACTATATATACAGTGCACCAATGTCAATTTCATGATCTGGATATTGTACTGTAATAATGTGAGTGAATGGTTCCCTGGAGCATCTCTGTACTATCTTCACAAACTTACTGTAAAGAAAAAATTATTTCAAAATAAAAAGTTATTAAGTGAGCTGAAACCGGTTTGGCTCAGTGGATATAGCATCAGCTTGCAGACTGAAAGGTCTCGGATTCGATTCCAGTCAAGGGCATATACCTGGGTTGTGGGCACATCCCCAGTAGGGGGGCGTGCAAGAGACAGCTGATCAATGACTCTCTCTCATTGATGTTTCTAACTCTCTATTTCTCTCCCTTCAATAAAATATATTAGAAGAAAAAAAAAAGTTATTAAATGAAAAAAATTGCACAGAACTATATGTGCCTGTACACAAATGAGGGCACATAGAACTGGTGAAGAAGTAGACTGTATTGATGTCAGTTTCCTAATTTGATAGTGTATAACAGGGGTGCAAAGTATTCCCCCGGGGGGTGGAGGAGGGGAACTGAGTGATAGGTACACAGGACTACCTAGGATGTGTTTTAACACCATCTTATGAATTTATAATTACTTCAAGATTTATAAAAATAAAGCTAATAGAAAGTACAGAGACAGACAAAATATGCATGTGCATGTGTGTGCTTACACATGTACATGTGTGTACACACACAAAAACATACCTGAAAAATTGGAAAACAGTCTTGTGTAGGAAGAAAATCTGTTTTTGACCAGCCACTGCTGTGTTTCCTGGGTGGTGGCTGAAGGCTGAAGTTGCTATTAATGAAGAAAATGAATATAAATAGAAGAAACTATTCAAAGCTATAAAAACATAACCCAGGCCTCTAGCATGTTATAAATAACATTGAAACAAAACACAGAAATCCTCCAAATTTGAAGTAAAAGAACACTCAAGAACTGCATTAAGTCTGACTACTCAGTGATCCAACCACTGATTCAAGCCTCTGCCAGAGCCTTAAAAATACAGGCCCCAAAAGCATCTGAACAAGTTCGAAGAACAAGACACTTACTTCACTAGAGGTTTGTGAAACTCCATCTCCCTGATGATTTGGGGAAGAAGAATTGCTGGGGAAAAGGGAGAGGGGAGGAAAAGATAGTTATTATTTATATATTTATATAAAATCAAATATTAAAGACTATTCAACTAGGTAAACTTAAAAAAATATACTCTGTGACAGAGCAACATAAATTTGCAATAAGAATATTGGCACAGCCCTAGCTGGTTTGGCTCAGTGGATAGAACATTGGCCTGTGGACTGAAGGGTCCTGAGTTCGATTCTGGTTAAGGGCACATGCCCGGATTGTGGGCTTAATCCGGGGGGTGGGGTGGGGGGGCGCGGCAAGCAGGAGGAAGCCGATCAATGATTCTCTCTCATCGATGTTTCTCTCTCTCTCTCTCTCTCTCTCTCTCTCTCTCTCTCTCTCTCTCTCTCTCTCTCTTCCTCTCTGAAATCAACAGCAACAATAATAATAATAATATAAAATATTGACACAATTGATAAGGAATGAATATGATGAGATTAAGACAGAAGACTTCCTTTTTAAAACAAAAAAATTTTTTTAAATTAATTTTTTACAGAGAGGAAGAGACAGGGATAGAGTTAGAAACATCAACCAGCTGCCTCCTTAGTGGCGATGTGCCCGCAAATAAGGTACATGACCTTGACTGAAATCAAACCTGGGACCCTTTAGTCCAAACCAGTTAGGGCAAGACTTGCTTAATTTTTGCCTTTTCTTTCTCCATCTGTGACAGTAAAAGATTCTAGCTCTATGAAACAAAAGGGTTCCAATTATCTCCAAGTGAACAGGAAAATGAAGGACACTCATTCATTTTAGTTGGGGGTTGGAGGAGGGAGAGTGGTAATGTGAGAAATCAAGAAACAAACAATTGAAAGTAGCTGCAAAAAATCTACATTAAGAAAACAATGAGCTATAAAGGAGTGGTATGATAATTCTAAATCAAAATGATATCCCTTTTAATAAATTTATTCATCATTACATGGCAGAATTCAAGAGAACAAAAGAAACAATCGCATACCACTCTCCTTTTGTTTCTAAGGTAAAACAAAAATGAGAACCAACTACACGGCGGATGTGGCCGCCTTCCTGGTCCTGGCTCTGACTCTTAGCACTTTACTTAGGTGTATTGTGTTTATTGTTCAGCATCCTCTTCTACCCACTAGAACTTAAGCTCCTCAGAGAGGGATTTGTCTGTCATTTAAATGTGACAGCACCCGGAACGGTGCTGGGCGCATAGTGGGCTCTCAGAAATAGCCAGTTAACTAGTGAGTTCATGAATCCACAGCTTATTTCCAATATCGTAATCGTTTTCTAAGACAATCCAGACTGAACTTGACCAAAAGAAGAGCCTCCTACATGGCAACATGCCGGTCTCCTGGTCTCGTCCCCGGTCTCTGAGCCCAAGGTTGTTTTTCTACTCTTAAAGCACAATAACTTAAAAGGCTGCCTCATCAGCTTTTCCATCTCAAAGGAAAAGCATGTTTGTGTCCCCGCAAAATAATATACTGAATCTCACCCACAGTATGACAGATAGTATTAGGAGGTGGGGCCTAAACCTGCTATCAACAGGGAAGTTCTGATCTGATCTCACTGTCACTATTCCTTCAGCCAAGCCCTAAGAATGCAACGTCCTGTGGGGCGCCACTGTGGCACTGAGAGGCCCGAGAGACAGCTTCTGTTCCCACCGGCCGTTCACTAGACCAGTGTTTTTCAACCTTTTTTGGGCAAAGGCACACTTGTTTCATGAAAAAAATCACGAGGCACACCACCATTAGAAAATGTTAAAAAATTTAACTCTGTGCCTATATTGACTATATATAAAGTAATTCTCTTGAATAGGAATCAAATAAACACAAAGAAAGTATTATATAATTACTTTATTATGAAATATTAAGTAAACAAAATAGTGAAAAATTATAAAATTCTTGTCTTGTCTGCACCTATGGCACACCAGGCAACATCTCGCGGCACACTAGTGTGCCGCGGAACAGCGGTTGAAAACGCTGCACTAGACTCTGATTTGCACATCAAGGCCAAAGAGTAGAACTAAGTCCATCATTCCCATTTCTAAAGCCACTTAAGTTCTTTAAGGGTAGAGTTATTTAAAAAAAAAAAAAAAAAAAAAAAAGTGCATCTGTTAGGAGGAGAAGAAATGGAGCAGAGAAATAGCCCTTGTGTAGTATGGTGAGCATTAAAGACAAATATCCTTTATAATTATTGCAATCTTAACATACTGATTCAGTTTCACCTTAAAATCTCATTGTTCTTTCTCTGCCCATGAACCTCAATAATGTTCTTTTTATCTCACAAAGAATATATCTTGAAATGCTCCCTTTCTACAACTTCCATAGTTTGTGAGTGTGTGAGGCGAAAGGGCCAGAAGGAAAAGGCAGGCAGGTGAGGAAAGTGATTTTCCCTTGAGATCAAGGAGGCGATTTCCCATGACCACATACTTCACATAAATTAATGGAAAGGTAGCTGTAAATTGAGAGAAAGGGAAACAGGGGCGTGAGCATCAGTCAGCTGCAGGCACACGAGGACACAGAGCAGATACTACCTGTCTGGGACGCTGCAGGTGCTCTGCTGTGGGGAGGTGAAAGCGGGCGCTGCGGAGGGACTGTTATTCACATAGGCTGTGGGGGCGTCGGGCCACGGAGAACACTAAGGATAGAAACAAAAATAAATTAATAGTATGTTTTTAAAGGGTGTGGAAGAATACTCTGTATTTCACGATCTAATCTGGCCAAACAAGATTATAAAACACAAGACATCTGACACTCATCAAGCAAAGGCATGGGAACATATCATATTTCCTTCTATGTGGCAAGGAAAATTTTTACCTGCTCTGTGTGTCTAGACACTGATTAATTTTAGAGAAGCCCAGAAGTGATGATAGCAGCAAAACATCATCAAGGTATATTTATATACAATTTGCTTTCAAGAACTTTTTACCTCCCTCTTTATCAGTTCTCCAAAAGGTGCTTATCAAGGTTTAAGAATAGCAGAGGCAAGAAACGATTCAGAAGCAACATCTGACATCACACGGTGGCCAAGACAGTGTCTGTCCTTCCTAGTGCTCCTTCTGCCCTCACCAGTACTCACTTGCTTCCTTCATTTCTCTAAGATTAATAATCCTCAAGTAAGCTGAGACCATTCCAGTGCCAAAATACACCTGTGTATGGTACTGCCTATTCCTACCTATCCACATGTGTTTATTTTATTTTTTAAAATATATTTTTATTGATTTTTTACAGAGTGGAAGGGAGAGGGTTAGAGAGTTAGAAACATCTATGAAAGAGAAACATCTATCAGCTGCCTCTTGCACACCCCCCACTGGGGATGTGCCTGCAACCAAGGTACATGCCCTTGACCGGAATCAAACCCAGGGCCCTTTAGTCCGCAGGCCGATGCTCTATTCACTGAGCCAACCCATTTGGGCTGTTTATTTCTTATATTTTCTGGACATGGCATGGTGAACTAAAGTATTTTTTCAGCTCTAGACACAATTCTGACCAAAGATAGAGCACAGCTACAAAGACATATTGACATCAAAAGCATGCTGACAGGCCAGCATGATATCAAGTAAAAGTCTTCAAGCCTGAGCAATGGAGGGAATCTACTCACTCACTCCACATATTCTTCCTAAAACTAATCTGCTTGAGGAAACCCTTGGTTTCAAAGATCCTCTTTCATAGTCACTCTTCTACTTTTCACAAAAAAGGCATCGGATCTCATGATGGCTAACCATGGGGTATAAGACTCTTCCAAATCAAAGCAAAAAAAAAAAAAAAAATTTAGGGTAGTTACTAAGAAAGTATAATACATGACTCTAAATTAGGGAGTTAGTGGAGAGTATGAGGAGATAAATGATTTTAGAAGGAGACCTGACTTGGGGTGGTCAAGACACAATAGTGTACACCGATGACGTATTGTGAAATTATGCACTTGAAACCTGTATAGTTTTGTTAACCAGTGTTACCCCACTAAGTTCAATAAAAAGGAAAAGAAATAGTCTGTGGGTTAATAAATATTTCTTTTGCCTCTCAAAAACAAAAATTAAAAAAAAAATTCTTCCGTATGTCTGGTAGCTTCCAATTATTTGCTTTCAAAACAATTCTGGAGGATCTACCATTAGCTGATACAGTGTTAAAATAACCTACTAGGGTTATATAAAATCCATCACTGGGATATTTGGCAGATAACTCAGAAGGAATTTCAAAACCTGAAAGACACTGCCGAAAGAAAAATAAATATCTAAATAAACTTTTCTTAATCCATAAAAAATCTAGAATTGGGTTCTACCCTGAGATGTATTTCCAACAACACTTCTATTTTTATATTTTAAAAATTCTCATCAAAACCTGTATGGCCTGCCTGGTTTGGCTCAGTGGTTAGAGTGTCATCCCAGGTGTCAAAGGGTCTTGGATTAGATTCCTGGTTGGGGCACATGCGAAAGGCATGATCAATATTTCTTACATCAAGATTTCTCTCTCTCTCTAGAATCAATGAAAAAAAGCACGCACTCCTCAGATGAGGATTAAAAAAGTGATTTCTATGATTTGTTTTGATAAGTTGGTACCAAGAATAAAGCTTCAATTTTTCAAGGGACTAAAGAGCCTATGGTCACAGGACATTTTAAAACATTTCAGGCATAATAGTATGTCCTATCACGGTAAAACTAAGGGGAGGGGAAGAGAAAACATATCAAGAAGAGCAGGGTAAAGTTTCGTGAACTTTTAAAATGAACAATGGTGGGTGTCCAATTGCTATGGTAGTGGAGTCTAAAGAATATACTTCAAAAAGCAATGTAATAGGTTTACCTTAAATTTTACGTGCAAATACTCATTAGGTCAGAAAATTGTCTCCTTTTACAATGACTTAAATGTATGAAGAACACTTTCAGATGTTAACATAAAAACGTGGACGGGAGTATATTTTTTCTTAAAACTCTTGAATATGAAAGAGTCATGACCACTAGTGTGAAGGAGCTAAGACTGTGCAGCACTCTGGGCAGAAAGGAAGTCTCTTCAATGGTTACAAGAGCTTAAAGCAACTGACAGCCATCAGAAGCATCAATACAAGGAAAATAAGACAGAAACCCCGAATCTTATTTACAACTGCCCATCATGTATTCTTCAAAAATGGGGAAAATGACTGCACTTATTGTTTCTGCAACTTTCAAAAAAAGGAATTTACTGGCTGGACAGCATTGCTAAGCATATTGCATAGCGTACCAATTTCACTATAAACTTCACACAAGGCCATTCTTTTACTTTTCACCTTAGGAAGTCGTTACCTTCCCGGCCTCTACAGTTTGAGGAACCTAAGAGCTTGTGAGCCAACTGACAAATCAAATAACTATGGGTGTGCCCTGTTCATAGCCATCTCCACTCCCCAGATCTTCCTGCTACACCGTCCTCCTCAGACACTAACTACCATCACTAGCAAGGTAACTGCAAAGTAATATAAACCTTTTCATGTCAAGCCTCCCAAAATCTGCCTTGTAATTTTCCCAGCTGTCTACGAGGAAATGAAGCCATCAAAAGTTGCAGGTTAGTATGGCAGCGCAACGACAGCGACACCAAATTGCCTGAAACCTCATAAACATATCTATTTTCACTTACACATCTAAAGCTGTTAATAGCTGACATCTAAAACTTGCCCAATAAATAAGAGACTCGATTCACTTAACACAGTGGTTGGCAAACTCATTAATCAACAGAGCCAAACATCAACAGTACAATGATTGAAATTTCCTTTGAGAGCCAAATTTTTTAGACTTAGGTAGGTACATTATTAACTTAATTAGGGTACTCCTAAGCTGGCCTTTGCTAAAAACTCAAGGGGCCAAAGAGCCGCGGTTTGCCAAACGCTGACTTAACAGTAGAAAACTAGTGTTTGGTGAAAGCTGGTTGTGTGGGGAAGCCTCTACTCTTAGAAAAGAATGGATTCCGAGTTCTAAAATGGCCACCAAGCACCAAGACCTGCCTGCCTGTGTTTCACAGATTTCTCTAGCAGTCTCAACCCAGGAGGGTAAAGGCTACCAAGGGATATTTTCACAGTTTCTTCTACCTGGTCATTCTGCCCCGTCTTTAAAAGTAAGCGAAGGTGCAGGGCCTGTGTTCCTGAAGGCAACCTGTGATCCATCACCTGGCCTGGACCCTTAGTCACGCACTGGCGCACTGGGAGCACAGTCCCTCCTCAGGCAGACTAGAAAATGATGACCCGCCTGAGACTGCAGAAATTGGCAGCCCGATTTGAGCCAATAAAATACAGCTCAGAAGCAAAGAAACAGACACAACAAGAAATGGTTTTGTTGGGCAGTAGCACTTAGGAGCCAACCACAGTGCCTCTATTCCACTGGGACCATTTCTCACAGCACCTTTTATCTTTAACGGATGAGTCTGGATATCCCTCTCTACCGACAGCCATCTGCAACTAACTAGCCAAGACTAAGAAAAATGTTGCCTTCCTCTGCAGGCATTTGAAACAATGAAATGCTGCAGACTTTCTTTGTAAAACAGGTACCCAGCTTTTTAAAAAACAGGTTTCCAGGAGGAGCTCTAACCACCCTTAAGAAGATCTTAACCAAAGCAAATGCAGCCCAGGCAGCAAGCAACACACACAAGGAAGATGTGAAATCCCAGGCTCCCAGGCCAATGAACTGCTGACGTTTTGCATACTTTAGATTTGAGTCATTAATAATTTAAAAACAACTCTACCATCTTCAGATTAGCTCTGGGCTCGAGTAGATTTAATTTATTAATTATGAGAACCTACTCCTTTTAATTAGTGGTGTAGTTTCTATAAAGAGTGGAAAATGATTCGAGTTACCAGTATTTCCCCCAAAAAATTTAAGAACCACTTCAGCTGAAAAATCCTAAGAAGCTAAAGACAAACTCAGATGGAGTGTATAGTTGTTCCATACAACTTTTGACTGGCATTAAAAAACCCAGTTAAAATGCAACAAGTGTACTCCCCATCCTTTCAGACTAGTCGCTTACAGTTTTATTGTACAGAGAAGCATTTAAAACATTTTCAGTCAATGCTTTTAACTTGGAGATGATGTTCTAGTGATTGTGCTTGTGACTTCGTAGTCAACAAATAATTGGACACATGTTTAAGAGTGAAAAATTCCATTTTTGTCACTTTAATAGGATGAACACTGTAATAATAGTGTAGCCATTAATACAGCTATGTAAGAAAAGGTTTAATGCTCTCTGTTTACATTTACTGTGGATATATAGCTGATCTAGACTGTTAGATGGAGAGTTGTGTCATAAAGGAAGAATTTGCTATACTCAAGCAGAGAAAGCTCATATTTAACCAAAATTCGACTGGCTATATGTTTGGGGGATCCGGATCTGAGTATAGCAAGGTGCATTGCTCTGGCCTGAAGCACAAGTTCACGATGCAATGCAAGTTCACAGTGCAGTGCAAGTTCAGTGCATTGCTGAGAGGAACACTGATGCAGTCAAGGCCATTTTCCTACCAGTGCTGCCAAACAGGCTTTTAAAAGCACAGACAGACACACATTCTTACACTACATGCAGGGAAACGTGACACAAAGTATTGCATGTTAATGTCAAGCTTGCTGCCATCATTTCTCTAAATATTCATGACATTTTCTTATCAGTTATATACATGAGGAAGCAAAACCCTTTAAAATTAAACAAAAATGCTAACTATTTTTACTAAAGACTGTACTTTCCATTAATTTTAGTGCTCTTAAAGGAAGTGTGTGTGCCGAGGAGGGAGAGAAAGGGAATGACACAGGGAGGGAACACATTTTTGAGTGTCGTTTTTCCCTCTAAAACCACCCAATAAGTTCAACTTTGTTTTAAAGTGTTAGATTTAGGAAATTTTCCTCAGCGAGGAACAAACAGAAAGCAGGAAGTCTAAACAAAAGCAAATTAAATCAAGACAAGGACATCAAAAACAAATTTGGCTTTACTTTTCTGTGGAAGTAGGTCCTATATCTAACACTGCACAAGGTTTCCTGCACAATGAAAGGAGAAGAAGTCCCTTACACTGCCTCGCTTTGCCAGAGAATCACCGTAGTCTGCTGGCAAAGTCCGCTTGCTGGACTTTTTCTGCTCATGTTCAACTGCATCTTCAATTATAGGCTCAAGCCTCATCTGGACAAACACCAAAGATTGGGATCAATGTCTTTTCATTATACAAAGAAAGATCCAATATCCTGTTTTATGTCTCTGCAGTCCAATTAAACAATTGCATGATTAGCAGGATTCAAAGTTAAAGAAAATGCAAAACCCCAGCAGTGACAAAAATCAAACTTTCTAGGCCCCGGTTAAATCTCTTGCCAACTTCAAGGTTTTTAAGGTCTGTTTCTGAGACCTGATTGGGATTTCAGCATCTTCATTCAAGATCCCACCCAGGAAACTAATCCATTAAAATCCCAGAATTTAAACAATATATTTCCCCCACAAATTTCACAAAGAATATATGTCAAACTACCCCCCAACCTTCCCCAATCCCTTCTTGGCAAAACTCATCCTTATAAATAGTGCCAATATGCAAACCTCTGATTCTCTCCAGACACCAAACTGCTGCTCTGCATTACCTCTGTGAGGATTGTGGTATCATAGGATGGCTGATACTTTTCTTTTTCGTGAGCAGTTCTCTTCTCCATCTTCTCTCGGTCAGTTTTTTGCTTCCGGTCTGCACCTTTAGGCTAAAAAACAGCAGATTATTTTGTCCGTCAGGTTACAAACAACTTTATAAGCAAAATTGGGCCTTAATTACTGGAAGCCTGGCTTCCATCTCTTACCTTAAAAACTTTGATTTGGCAGCTCGCTGAGTGTAGATGATCTGTATATTCTCCATTTTCATTCTGCTTAAAGGTGTCCACCTGGATCCGAAAAGGCACTCCCTTCTCGCCTCCATGCTTCCGGGGAGTAAATTCTGTGCTGATGCAGTGTACCTGGACAATTGGAGATGGATTCAAAGTACCATCCACTGGTTTGTCCCTCTGGATGTCCTGTCACCGCTATAAATGTACGTTCCTTTAAAACAAACTCCCACATCTTGGCCAGGTATCTGTTATGAATTTCTCTGATTGTTTTTAATATATGGCTTTCCTTTCACAAAGCCAGCTGGATCTTTCTGCACTTTGTGGGAATGAGCTCTTCTTTCCCATTCCAATGCCTCTCCTGACTTGCTCTGATCATGGGTACAACAGTACAGAGGCTTCCTGCCGACTTCCCCTACCTCCACTCCAGACCCTAAACTGCTCCCAGACCCAGCTAAGCCTTGCATGTGGCTCAATTCATAGCAACCTTGAGCTCATCATTCAGAGCTTCCACTATTGCCCTCTACTGTGAAATACCCTAACTATACATTCACTCATCTTACTGTTATCCCAACCTCCATCAACTTGGAATACTTTTGCCTGGGGAACTTCCACAGCCCAGAAAGCCCACCACTTGTCCTACCTGTCCATCTCAACTCTTCTGTCAACCCTTCCAAGGGTTCTAAGGGCATCTTCCATCACTATGCACCCTCACCATGGAGACAGCTTTAGGATACGTCACAGGATCAGTAAACGGATTTTTGTAATTTCAGACTGATACACATCCTGTCTTCTAGTGACTCTCAAAGTGAAAACTGATCTCAGCAGGATACTGTGCACAACCTGAGATTTAAGGCCAGCTCCTACATTACTTTCATTCACTGTATATCTAGTTATCCTGTTAGACAAACAGTATGAGAACATGTTCAACTAATATGAACCATGTTCCTAGTGACTACTAACTGATGGGATACAGTATTTGCCAAACCACAAAAATTCAAAATACCAAAGATTCTTTACTGTTCACAAAAACCACAGTCTACATAGGCTGGTCAGCGATTAAGCAGTATATTTTATTCTCGTAAGATTAACCCACTCAGTATTTTTAATCTTTCCACTTACAAATCTGGACATCCTGGGTATTAGAATTACCATGGGTTTCACTGTATATATATTCTATATATGTATTTTAAACTTCATCTCTTAAAGATACAAACTGAGTACTTACGGTTGACATGAAATGCCCGAGAGTTGCTTTAAAGTATTCCATCAATAACTTAAAAAAGGGAAACTATTCATAACGTGAAGGTAGGTGATGAGTACACAGAGAATTCATTCTTATTCTCTTACTCTTGTGGTTTGAAAATTTCAGCATTAGAATGTTGCCAACAGAATCTTAGAACACTTTTTTTGCAGTCACATCCTTTTATATGGCAGCTTTGGTTCCAGAGAAATGGATCTTATGAAAACTGCAAGTTTTGATTACTGTTACTACCCAGTGGTAAAAGTAACATTTAAATAATGCTTGACATATCAGCTTGCCTTCACATGTGTTAGTCTGTAATAACAGATTTCGTGTATTAACTTCAATTTAAGTGTATAGTGTATTTTTAAAGATACTGCCAGAAAGTTTACAAAGAAGCTTTTATTTTTTAAAATAAAATTTTTTTATTTAAGGAATTTCACGTGTTCTGAGTTCTTCCACTGCTTTAGTTCCTCCTGAGTTTGAGTCTTAATCTTCTTACTCCCTTTTTTGCTCAATCCTGATGTCATTTCAGTCAGTCCACAATCTTTTTAGCTGAGCTTCTTTGATCTACACTTGAATATGGACATGCTTCAAAAACTCTGCACCTTTAATTGTTGGGAGCTAATTTCCTCAAGCAATTTACTTTAGGGCCGTGGTTAGGGTCTAAGTAGATGGATATGCCTGGTTTTTTAATTTCAGACATCTGCTAAACATGAGTAAGTGCAAAATCTTCACTTCTAAGCTATCACTCCCTAGAATAGGACAGATCTTCCGAATATATAAAAATATCTAAGATTAAAAAAATTAAAAAGATTAAGTCTGTTGAAGTTTTAGCAGCTGTCCTGTTATTCCTTCCCACAGATCTAACACACAGTTCTGTGAATAAAGGAAGCAACATATTTATTCTATGAGGCGTTTCCAACGATGTAGGTCTACAGGAAAAGACCCATCGGGATAGACCTCAATCTATAAATAGCTTTTAAAGAAATTTATATTATGCATCAAAAAGTCAACTTCAAAAAAGAAAAAAAAGAAAAAGAAAAAGAAAAAGAAAAAGAAAGAAAGAAAAGAAAGAAAGGAAAGAAGAAGAAAAAAGGAATTCAACCTCATTCATGACCTTCTAAATGACAAGGCTAGTATATGTCTAGTAAAGTAAAAAATCCGAACCTGAATGAAAGCAGATGTGCGTTTTGCAGGGTCCCACAGAAATTCAACTGCATTTAACTGGCTTGGATTTGTCCTTGTGTCAATTATTCCCACGGACATTGGGATATCTGTATTTTAAAAAAGAAGTCATAGAAACTCGTCTACTAAGAATAATTTAAAAGCTTACAGCTTACTCTAATTATGTTTTAGTGAAAATGTTATACCTCTATGCCGCACTTTGTTTTTCCATGTTCTCTGTGGTCAACCACTTCAACATCAAAACCCACCTAATGAGTATCAGACTTTCTCCCACCATGGGTTCTATTTCATTTTAATCAGAATATGATGGATGAATCCAAAGGAGAATTAAATAAATGGTTTCCAACTCATAATATTACTGGCGCAGGGTCTTTCAGTTTCACCAAAATTCTACAGCTGGTCCTCACACAACATGGGTGGGAACTGCACAGATCCACTTATGTGTAGAGTTTTTCAATAAGTGTATTTTTCCTTCCTTATGACTTCAATAAGATTTTCTTTTCTCTATCTTAAGAACTCAATATATAATATACATAATATACAAAATATGCGTTAATTGACTGTTTAATTATCTATAAAGCTTCCAATCAACAACAGACTATTTTGGGGGAGTCTAATGATGGGCAAATTTTAACTGCATGGGGATCAGCCCATAACTCCAGCGTTCGTTGTTCAAGGGTCAACATTTTAAACTATAAAACAACTCAAGGCACACAGAATCCACTCACACCAAAACACTCTCCACACAATTATACGTGGTACCAACACGGGTATAACTAAAATGCCTTTATATTTCCCTCCATGGTCTTCTGATGGTCACTGTACCTAAATCAAGAAGTCTATCTCCTGGGCGATTCCACTTCCAACCTTCGAGTTGCTGATGCTCTGTATACTGTAGCCGTCTATCATGGAATACGACTCTTATGATGCTCTATGGAATAAGTGGGGGAAATGAGTACTTTTAAAACTGTTATAGCTAAAATGCAAAAGCAGCCGAAACTCGTTTGGCTTAGTGGATAGAGCATCGGCCTGCGGACTCCAGAGTCCTGGGTTCGATTCCAGTCAAGGGCATATACCTTGGTTGCGGGCACATCCCCAGTAGGGGGTGTGCAAGAGGCAGCTGATCGATGATTCTCTCTCATCAATATTTCTGACTCTCTATCCCTCTCCCTTTCTCTCTGTGAAAAATCAATAAAATATATTTTAAAAAACTAAAAAAATAAAAATAAAATGCAAAAGCATTTTCACTTCTTATGCATTCCTATAATAGAAGAGCATACAAAAACAAATTCTGCTTTAAACAGTTTGTAAGTTAACTGTATTGCTCTTGTATACCTGGATTACAGGTACATGTATTTGTTGCAAAGAATTAATTTTGCAACAAATTTAATTCAAATGTAAAGATCCCAAATAAAATGGTTAATTAGGTATAATTTGTATTTAAAAACCTGATATTATGATTCAGAATTAAGACACATGCCCACAAAACTCATGAGTAAGAATTACATTTCTAGGTAGAAAACATTGGATGGACACAGGAATTAATAAAATAGACAGAGAAACCCAGGCACAATGATAAAACTGCTAATTTAAAATAACAGTTAATAACTGAGTGTCTGTAAAAAGATAGTCTTCTGGGGAGAAGAGAGGACATCTGCATCCGCCCTGAGAACTTATAGGCAAAATTCACTCTCAACTTTTTACTTGAAAGAGAGTGAAGAAAAACCAAACCAAACCAAACCAAAACACACCAAGGCAACTTTATCCAAACACTCAAGTTCTTAAAGGAAAGACTTGTAATGCCACAAACTCTAGGCCAAGTCTCTGTTCTCCACCTATCACCCTTTCTTCCCCTTCCACAGGTTTGGGGAGCCAGCTTCTATTTCATTCCAGGGCCAGGATTAAAGAAGTCATCAAAACACATTCAGATGCCAAATTTGTACTAATTAGTGCTTCTGAGATATGTATCAATAATTTTCTCAGACTATGCTGCAATAAGATAATCATATTTTCTTTTTTAAAGCTACGTATTTTTATTGATTTCAGAGAGAAAGGGAGAGGAAGGGGGAAAAGGGACAAGGGAGAGAAGGGTGGGAGGGAGGGAGGGAGAGGGAGGGAGAAAGAGGGAGAGAGAGAGAGATATGATGAGAGAAAATCATTAATCGGCTACCTCCTGCACACCCCCTAGAGAGAAAGAGAGAGAGAGAGAGATATGATGAGAGAGAATCATTAATCGGCTACCTCCTGCACACCCCCTACTGGCAATGTGCCTGCAACCAAGGTACATGCCCTTGACGGGAATCGAACTTGGGACTCTTCAGTCCACAGGCCGATGCTCTATCCACTGAGCCAAACAGTTAGGGCTAGGTCGAATTTTAATCAGGTGTGGTACAGTTGGTAGTTTTGTCCGAAGTTGAACCAAGCTGGCTAGGACCAAGGGCATGCCGAGACATCTTCAGAATTCTAAGTTTCCTAGACACTGTTAAATGAGAGAGTTGTCTGGCTCCTTGAGCAGACATTTAGCTATTTGCCACTAGTGTACAGTCAAACAAAATATGGCTTGCTTAGGGATAACAATGCTGATGACTTCATAAAACAATTCATCTAATCAGTGAATGCAAATATCGGGAAATGCAAAAATAATTTCACTCATCCTCTAGGGCAGTGGTCGGCAAACTCATTAGTCAACAGAGCCAAATATCAATAGTACAACGATTGAAATTTCTCTTGAGGGCCAAATTTTTTAAACTTAAACTTCTTCTAACGCCACTTCTTCAAAATAAGACTCACCCAGGCCGTGGTATTTTGTGGAAGAGCCACACTCAAGGGGCCAAAGAGCCGCATGTGGCCCGCGAGCCGCGGTTTGCTGACCACGGCTCTAGGTTGACAAGACAATGATCCTTTTCCTTCATCTTCTCATGGATTGAGGGCTTCCTGCCCCAAGCATCGGAGGAATACTAAAACATGTCAAAGACTCTCCAGCCTCCAGGTGCTGAGCACCTGGCTTACCCAGACACCCCAAATTTGCTAGCTTTAGTATTAATATCCAAGGCTGCCTTTTACATGCTCGCCCTGTAAAGGAGAGTCTTTCCAATCGCATGCCTTTTCACAGTGAGGGCCCAGCAGCACCTGGGCCCCCAATATGCCTCTCTGAGGGGAGATGGAAGGATCAAGAGAACTCATGCTTCTCTTTTGCTAATACTTAGCCACACTGAAGTTTTGCCTTTTCCTAATTAAGTTTCTTCCATAAGCCTTGCCCTGTAATGCTATGGAATTGGTAATAAACCATGGAACATGATGGGTGAGGCTAGAAGGACCCACCATGCACAATGGAAGGGGTGGGGACAGTTCTGAAGATATATCTTATAAGCAATGGGTTGGCAGGATAGTGATTACACTGTCTGGAATGACTGCCTTCTTCATTCATCAGTAGGGTAAATAGAAATTTCAAAACATTTTTGAAAGAAATATTAACAGGTGAAATAAAAGGACCTTTTGAACTTTCATTTTAACACATTTTCCCTCGTGTTATCTTTTACTTTTAAACAGAAACTTAAATTTTTTGTAGTGATGGTAGGTCTTTGCACACATAGCTGCAAGTAAATTTCATACGGTATGTTTCCAAAGGACTTTCACACTACATCAATAAATTAGGAGCTTTAAAATAGTGAAGTTAAGTTTTATATAAAAACTCTTACAGCAAAACTGCTTTTTAAAAATCACCGCACTATCTATTAGGAATGTAAAAGGATCGACCTTACCTTTACCAATTTTCCAGTGATCTCAGGCATATCTCCCATTTTCCGATTATCCAGCATCCGAATTTCATAAGACTGACCTATTTTTAAAGAAACTATACATTAAAAACAATCCACATAACAAACATTACTGTGTTTAATAAAAATATTAACTATCTTTCAAAATATACAATTACACAACTTTCATTTGCTGGAAAAGCAAATTCAGGTTTATTATCTTTCTTGATCCTGCAACTCATGCTATAATATCTTTTCCTTCTTACACTATTACATAAGACTATAAAGAATTTCTGTTAATTTACATTAAATTTATATTATACATATATTCATTACCTGAGACCAACTTTTTATAACAGCTTTAAAAATATATATATAGTCCTAGCTGGTTTCGTTCTCAATAAAAAATTCAGAGAGGAAAGGAGATGTAGAGAGAGATAGAAACATCAACGATGAGAGAGAATCACTGATTGGCTGCCTCCTGCACACCCCAACTGGAGATCAAGCCTGCATCCTGGGCATGTGACTGGGGTTCATAGATTGACCATCAACCAAACCACTAAGCCATGCTGCCCAGGCAACTGCTTTTTTAAAATATAATTTACATGCCATAAAATTCACTCTTTTAAAGTATACAATTAGTTTTTAGTACATTCAGAGCTGTGCAACTGCCACTGCTACCAATTTTAGAACATCACCCCAAAAAGAACTCATATCTATTAGCAGTCACTACTCACCACTCCCATCCTCCGAGCCCCCAGCAACTACTAATGATTCTACTTTCTGTCTCTAGGGATTTGCTTACTTTGGACACTTGATATAAATGGAATCACACAATATGTGGCCTTTGTGACTAGCTTCATTTAATCAAGAATGTTTTCAAGGTTCATGCATGTTATAGCATGTATTAGTATTTCATTCCTTTTTACTGCCAACTATTATTCATTGCATAAATACACCACATTTTATTTGTTCATTCATTCATCAGTTAATGAACATGTGGGTTGTTTCCACTTTTGGCTACTATGAACAATGACATTAAATTCAAAGCATTTATTTTTAAGGTCCTAATATAGAACTTTAAAGCAAGAACCAGACCTAGCCAGTTTGGCTCAGTGGATAGAGCGTTGCCCTGTGGACTGTCAGACCCAGGTTTGATTCAGAAAAAGGGCACATGCCTGGCTTGTGGGCATGATCCCCAGTAGGGGGCATGCAGGAGGCAGCCGATCAACAATTCTCTCTCATCACTAATGTTTCTATGTCTCTATTCCTCTCCCTTCCTGTCTGAAATAAGTAAAAATGTGTATTTTAAAACAAGAACCAAAACTAACCTCAAGGAAATAAGATTACCGTGCAAAATGAAATTAACAAAAAAAAATGACAGTTATATATATCTCATCTCTAGGGCAAAAAAAACTGAGGAGAAAATAAACAAATGGGACTACATCAAAATAAAGATTCTGCAGCGCAAAAGAAACCATCAACAAAATGAAAAGGGAGCACACTAGATGAGAACATGTTTGGCAATGATACATCTGATAAAGGGTTAATATCAAAATATAAGGAACTCATACAACATAACAAAAGGAAGACAAACATTCCAATTAAAAAATAGGAAAAGGACCTAAATAGACTCTTCTCCAAAGGAGACATACAGATGGCCAAATGACATAAGAAAAAAAATGCTCAGTCACTGATCATCAGAGAGATGCAAATTAAAATGACAATGAGATATCACCTCACACCTGTCAGAATGGCCACCATCAACAAATACAAGTGCCAGGGAGTATGTGGAGAATAGGGAACCCTTTTCTAGTGGAAATGCAGAGTGTTGCAGCCATTATGGAAAACAGTATGAAGTTTCCTCAAAAAATTAAATATGGAACTGTCATTTGACCTAAGGATCCCACTTCTAGGAATATGTCCTAAGAAACCCAAAACACCAATCAGAATGTATGCACCCCCACGTTCATAGCAGCACAATTTACATTAGGTCAAATGACAGTTAAGATATGGAAACAGCCTAAGTGCCCATTAGTAGCAAGTGGATTAAAAAAAAAAAAAAACTGTGGTACATTTACACCATGGAATATTATGCAGCAGTGAAAAAGGATCTCTTACCCTTTGAGACAGCATGGAGGGACTTGGAGAGTATTACTAAGCAAAATAAGCCAGAGAAAATCAAGTATCACATGATCTCACTCATATTTGGAATCTAATGAACATCATAAACTGATGAACAAAATAGACCCAGAGACATAGAAGCATGGAACAGACTGCAGAATCTGAGAGAGAAGGCAGAGGAAGGAGGGTGCGCTGAGACCAACCAAAGAACTTATATGCATAACCCGTGGACAAGCTCACTTATATCATGAGATGTGAAAGCATCAAAGACCTGGCTGGAGCTATAAAGCAAGGGGCAGCCTATTCCAGCTAAATCCCTGCTAAAGGGAGAGTTAGCTGCGTTCACTCTACCCTCTCGTGGTTCCATGTTGAGATTAAAGGTTTTTTCTTCACATAGTTGACTGAACTCTTTGTCGTTACCTAAGAACAGGTGCTTAAGGCATAACCAGGAAAACACCAAGTTTTTAAACTCTGAATTTCTATTGTTCAAAATAGTACAAAAATGGATACTTTAAGGCATCAATACAATTGGAAAACCTGCTCTAATTTCTATATTACTGATGAAGTCAAGACTACACAGAATTTACTTATTTTTTCTTTTTTACACAATGGCAGGTGAGCAATGATCTTTAAGGGGAGGCTACTAGGAATACTAGTATCCAAGCTATGGCCAAAGAACAGTGCAGAGCCCCTACAATGTGCCAACCCTCCTATGCAGAAATTGTCCATTTAAGGTGGTTGTGAAGGGAAGCTCTCATGTTTGCCTGAATATTCAAAATAAAAAATGCAGATGGTCCCCACACTAGCAGCATCAGCATGACATGGAAACTTATCAGAAATGCAAATTCTCCAGCCCCACTGAGTCAGAAACTCAATGGAGCTCAGCAATCATGTTTTGACAAGCCCTCTATGAGATCCCAATGCTTGCTGAAGTTGGAGACATACAAATATCTAATCAGCCAATACTATTTCAAACAGAAAGCATTCAAGACCTTCTCCTGGGAATAACTTAAATACTCAAAAAGCTCTGAGTAAATGGTAAGTTCAACCATCTTTTCTCAGAATCTGAACAAATACTGTAGGATATGTTATGATAAACACTCTTCCAAAGAGAAAAATGGCCTAATTTGGGATGGCTAATTATACACTTGCATTATTTTGCATAAGGCTCATTTAATACAACGATATATGAAACACTGCACAGTATTACAGATAATAAGATTTTAAAAGTCCTTTATAGTTCAAATTATTTGTCTATGTTAAAATTAAGAACTAAATCTGTCTAAAGCTGTTTAAAGTAAACTGCAATTTGATTACTTTGCAAGTAACCAAAATTCACTGAAGTCATCAGGTTTGACAGGACTGTAAATCTCGCAACAGTCTAGGGCAGCTCTCACTCCATTACATAAGTATGCTCCACAAATACACTGATGTTTACATATATCCATTACATATGTGCATACAGTCCATATATGCACATATACTGTATAATGGATACACATATATGCACACATTTTATATACATAAGCAAGAGCTCCAGGTTCATTAGATGCCCATTTGAAGACCCAGCTTTGACAGGGCTTTGAGATAAGCTAAGGAGGCAGTACTGCAGGAAGCAGAGTCTTTGTCTAAAGCACATGTGTCAAACACAAGGCCCGCGGGCCAAATCCATCCCGCCAGGCCTTGCAATGTGGCCCGCACCGCGCTGTCATCACTGCACTCCGCTGCATTTCCATCACAATGACAGTTTATGACTGTTCAGTAAACCATTCGGCCCGTGATTTAGGCTGGATTTTAGATTTTGGCCCCTTCTCTGATTGAGTTCAACACCCCTAGTCTAAAGTATATTACACCCCATAGCCATTTTTAAAATAAGCCAAATTTTTTTGTTAACATCTTAATATAATTTCAAACTTACACAGAATTTACAAGATCACTACAAAGAACTACGTATTACTAAAGAACTATTATCATTGCTTTATCATTTTCTCTTTATATATATGCATCTGCTTATGATGTCAGTCCCACTCGCACCAGCTGCTGGCCCCAATCACACTGTGCTGTCAGTGGGTGCGGGTGGGACTGGCACCATCAGGGTGTGGGAGTGGCAGTGGCAGGAGCGGGGCTGCCAGCAGACAGGGAACGAGTTTGCATGGGGGTGCAGAGGATGGGCTGAGACCCACCCCTGTGCCCACTGCAGCCTCATGGCCCAGAGTTCCTTCAAGGTGCACGAATTCATGCACTGAGCCCCTAGTGTAATATATAATGACTTTTATATCATGTAAACCACCTATAGCAAGCAGTAAATTAAACATCGTAGTCAAGTCCCCTTTTTCTTTCAACACTACTGAAAGAAAAAGTGGTGCTGAAAGGATTGTCCTGGTGCTGAAAGGATACACTTCTGTTTCCAGTCTTCAATCCAGGTCATTACAAGTTTCTCCATGTCTGATACAGACTCTTCTGGAATTTGTTAGTCTCATTGCCTTCAATAAAGCAGATCCTTGAATAGCTTGTCAGTTTGTTTTTGTTTTTCAAGATGGTAGCTATGGTGAAATGGGACCTACCCGACTAATGAGCAATAACTATAATTGATTTTCCACCTTGGTAATCCTTAATTTTATTTTCCTTTTCCGGCCCATCACTTGATGTGGCCTCTTACTGGCAACATTAGCAGTGGATCTTGTACACAGGAGCCATGATGAATAAAACAACATGAGATTAAATCAAGAACAAGAGAAAATGATGCTATTAGGAGACACAGTAAACACGAGATACACAAGGCTATAGCCGGGGTAACACAATTCACTGTTTTATGCCAACTTTTTTTTTTTTTTTAATAAGCAGGAAGAGTACACTCTAAAATAATAATAAAAACTATATAAATTAGTAACAGTCATTTATTATCATGACTGTACATAACTGTATGTACTATACTTTTATAGCACTGGAAGAACAGGTGTGTTTACACTAGCATCACCACAAACACTTGGAAATATTAGATATAGGCAGTATTTCTAAGGAAATAATATATGTAAAAATTCATTGAGCTATATATAATCTTTTTAAAAAATAAATTTTTAAAAATTGATTTCAGAGAGAAAGGGAGAAGGGGAGAAAGAGAGAACCATTAATGATGAGAGCAAAACATTGACTAGCTGCCTCCTGTAGGCCTCACACTGAGGATGGAGCCCGCAACCTGGGCATATGCCCTGATAGGCAATCAAACCATGACCTCCTAGTTCACAGATTGACGTTCACCCACCGAGGCATGCCATGACCTGTGCACACTACTGTATATATACTTCAGTAACTTTTTAAAAATCTAACATTGGCTGAAACGGGTTTGGCTCAGTGGATAGATCGTCGGTCTGCAGACTGAAAGGTCTCAGAGTGGGACCCCATCCAGTTTACAATTCCATAAGGGACACACTCAGGTGCAGACTCAGTCAGCACCAAAGCCCCACTGAAGCAAATCTTGTCTCATAAGGGTGTCTCCAGCACAGAAGTTCTCCCAGCATAGACACAGCTGGTCCTCATAGTCAACTGGCCATGAGGTCAATTCCTCCCAGTGATATCAACAACAATCAAGGCTTAACTTCAACAAGACTGTGCACACAGCCACAATGGGGTGCACCAAGAGTGTCCATTTCAGGTAAATGGGGAGGCTGAGCCACCTGTCCCTATAGGACACCTAGCACACAAAGCTACTCTATCAACTTAGGGAAGCAGCCAAAATGTGGAGACAAAGAAATAGGCCACAAATTAAAGAAATGGAGGAAAGCAAATGACTGACTACAGAGTTCAAAAGCATGGTTATAAGTTTTTCAAGAATTTCCTCGAAAAGGCCGATAAATTTAATGAGACCCTCAAGGATATGAAAAAGGACCAACTAGAAATTAAGCATACACTGAATGAAATAAAAAATAATATACAGAGCCAAAACCGGTCAAGCACTGGTCTGCAGACTGAGGGGTCCCAGGTTCGATTTCGGTCGAGGGCATGTGCATTGATTGCAGGCACATCCCTGGTGGGGGGTGTGCGGGAGGCATTGATGTTTCTGGCTCTCTATCCCTCTCCCTTCTTTTCCGTAAAAAAAAATCAATAAAATATTTTAAAAATATATTTATACAGAGATCCAACACCAGACTAGAGGATCGTAAGAATAAAGACAAAGATTTGAAATATAAAGAAGCAAAAAACTCCCAACCAGAAAGTAAAAAATAAAAAAAAAGAATCCAAAAATATGAAGATACTGTATAAGGAGCCTCTGGAACAACTTCAAGAGTACCAACATCATCGCCAATACCGGTTTGGCTCAGTGGATAAAGCGTTGGTCTGTGGACTGAAAGGTCCCAGATTTGATTCCGGCCAAGGGCATATACCTTGGTTGCGGGCACATCCCCAGTGGGGGGTGTGCAAGAGGCAGCTGGTCGATGTTTCTCTCTCATCGATGTTTCTAGCTCTCTCTCCCTCTCCCTTCGTCTCTGTAAAAAAATCAATAAAAAAAAAAAAAAAAAAAAAGAGTACCAACATCAGAATTATTGGGATGCCAGAAGAGAGAGTGCAAGATACTGAAAACCTATTTGAAGAAATAATGACTGAAAACTTCCTCCACCTGGTAAAAGAAATAGACTTACAACTCCAGGAAGTACACAGAACCCCAAACAAAAGGAACCCAAAGAGGACCACACCAAGACACATCATAATTAAAATGCCAAGAGCAAAAGAGAGAGAGAGAATCTTACAAGCAGCAAGAGAAAAACAGTTACCTACAAGGGAGCACCCATCCGATTGTCAGATGATTTCTCAACAAAAACTATGCAAGCCAGTTGGGAGTGGCAAGAAATATTCAAAGTGATGAATAGCAAGAACTTACAACCAAGATTACTCTACCTAGCAAAGCTATCATTCAGAATTAAAGGTCAGATAAAGAGCTTCACAAATAAGGAAAAGCTAAAGGAGTTCATCACCACCAAACCAGTATTATATGAAATGCTGAAAGGTATTCTTTAAAAAGAGGAGGAAGAAGAAAAAGGTAAAAATAAAAATTATGAACAACAAATACATATCTATCAACAAGTGAATCTAGCCGGCACCAGTTTGGCTCAGTAGATAGAGCGTTGGCCTGTGGACTGAAAGGTCCCGGGTTCGATTCCGGTCAAGGGCATGTACCTTGGTTGCGGGCACATCCCCAGTAGGGGGTGTGCAAGAGGCACCTGGTCGATGATTCTCTCTCATCGATGTTTCTAACTCTCTATCCCTCTCCCTCTCTGTGAAAAATCAATACAATATATTAAAAAAAAACAAAAAAAAACCTAAAAACAAACAAACAAACAAACAAACAAGTGAATCTAAAAATCAAGTGAATAAAAACATGATGAACAGAATAAATGGTGAATATAATAGAATCAGGGGCATAGGAAGAGAGTGGACTGACAATTCCCAGGAGTGGGGGGAAGGGGTGTGGGGGATGCAGGAAGAGACTGGACAAAAATCATACATCTATGGATGAGGACAGAGGGGGAGCGTAAGGACGGGGGTGGGGTGGGGGGGGACACGGGACACACGACACTAGGTAGAGGGGCGCTATGGGGGGGTAAAATTGTAATAATCTGAACAATAAAGATTTTAAAAATAATAAAAATGTACAAAAAGATATATGTAGACAATATTTGACATGATTTATTTTAGCCACAGACTCCATCTTGATATAGCTTATGTCTATTTTCAACACATACATGCTTCATGCCGGAGACCCAGGTTCCTTGCTAGCTGAATTCTGATTCATTCTCAAGTTCCACATTGAAGCCACTGTTACTAAAAATAACTGACATCCTTTCTACTTGCTCCCCCTTCGGATTTTATCGGAAAAACCATATAATAAATCTTGTTCCATAGACTCTCATGCAAATCAGTCTCTACAAACTATAACTTGGTTGGCTCACAATAAGTTTCCTACAATTTTTGTGAACTAAAGTTATATAGCTTAAGGGGAAAAAAATATAACTCAAAATGACTTCCAGTAATCAGTCAAAACTTTCATTTAGGATTCTTGTAAATTCTAGCAGCAAAATACGACACAGCCATACTAACCTTGGTTCAGGTAGGTGAGTGTTTCATCGTGCAGTTTTACTGCTGGAGATGTTGCGGCACACATCACATACTGGAAGGGCGGGTTTTTAGTTTCATCGTCCAATGGAAGGCTAGAATCTTCCTGCTTGAAAATGGGCAATGCCAAGACATCACTGAAAAGCAAAAAATAAAAACTAAATCAACATTGACCTTACTTTGGGTTTAAAATACTTAAAAGCATGTAAAAACGTTTAGGGGTAATTTCTTTTAAAATTTAAGTTTAGAAATGATGCACAGAATAAAAAAATTATCAATGCTAATCTGGCTCCCGTAAATTATATTAAACTTGTTATCTTTAGTGTGGCTGTGAGGCAAAGAGAAGCAGCTATGATTAGATAGCTCAAATAAGAAGTATTTAATAGTAAAGTCCATGCTACTGATAAAGGCTAACAATAAAAATGTCATTTAAAAAGTTACTTCAAAAAGATTTTTAAACACTTTAAACTCCATATGGTTCTAAAAAAAAAAAAAAAAAAAAAAGAGCAAGTCAAGAGTGTGTAGCTGCCTGTTTTGAAAGGCAAGAACTATTGCTGCCAAAGGTAGGTCACATTAGCACCATGAAATCACAAAGAATCATTTGATTAAAATGGCACTTTATAAAAAGTTTCCTGCTAAGCTTGGCAAGTTCTGAGAGCATAAAGCTTCATGCTTAGTCTAAAACAATGGCATCTTCTGAGAAGCAAACAGTGGCAGTAAAAACAACTGCTATTTTTTCTCCCAAGAATAACCTGGGGCATTAATTGGGAGGTAAATAGGAGTGGAGGTGGGGGTGTCTTCTGGGGCACTGCCTATATTCTCTGTTAACCTGGGAGGTTAAACATATGTGGATGTTTGGCTTGCTTTTAATTTTAATACTTAAAAACAGCTGATATTTAAGTTACATATCACAAAACTCATACTTTTAAAGTATATAATACAGTGTGCTTTAGTATATTCAGAATTGTGCAGTCATCATCACTACTTCCAGAACATCTTCATAATCTCAAAAAGAAATCTTGTACCCGCTGGCAGTCATTCCCTGTCTCTTTTCCCCCTAAGATACTCCCAACCCCTGGCAACCACTGATCTACTTTGTCAATATGGATTTGCCATACTGGTCATTTATTTTTTTAAAATATATTTTATTGACTCTTTACAGAGAGGAAGAGAGGGACAGAAAGCCAGAACCATCGATGAGAGAGAAACATCAACCTCCCACACCCCCCGCACCGGGGATGTGCCCGCAACTAAGGTACATGCCCCTTACCGGAATCGATCCTGGGACCCCTCAGTCCGCAGGTTAACACTCTATCCACTGAGCCAAACCGGTTTCGGCCATACTGGTCATTTAATCAAACAGAATCACATGGTCTTGTCTTAATCTGTTTTCAAGGTCCACCCATGTTATAGCATGTATCATTACTTCATTCCTTTTTATGGCTGAATGATATTCCATTGTATGGATATACCATTCTATTTATCCACTCATCAGATGATAAACATCAAGACTATTACCAATTTTTGGTTATTATTCATAATGCTGCTGTGAACACTTGTATGTTTCTGTGTAGACATATGTTTAATTCCCTTGGATATCTGTATCTATCTAGGAGTAGAATTACTGGGTCATATGGTAACTATGTTTAACTTTTTGAGCAAGCGCTGGAGTGTTTTCCAAAGTGGCTGCACCATTTCACATTCCTACAATTAGTGTATGAAGTAACTGACATAATTCACCAAGACGTACATTTACATCTTGATAATTTTTCTATATTCATTTTTCAATAAAAAGTAAAATAATAGCCAAAACCGGTTTGGCTCGGTGGATAGAGAGTCGGTCTGCGGACTGAAAGGTCCCAGGTTCAATTCTGGTCAAGGGCATATATAATACATTGGTTGCGGGCACATCCCTGGTGTGGGGTGTGCAGGAGGCAGCTGGTCGATATCTCTCTCTCATCGATGTTTCCAACTCTCTCTCTCTCCTCTCCTCTCTGTAAAAAAAATCAATAAAATATATTTTAAAAAGTAAAATAATAAAAGTCAAATGAATAACTACTATAACACCAATATCAAAGGCTTGTCTGAATTGCTTTGTTTCCCTGTTTTCTGCAAGCTGTTGACTAACTCAGGTATTTGGCTGGCCCATTTTAAGTAAATTTAATTTACAAACAAAATATGGAAATGAAATAGACGGAAAATTCTGCATTCCCTCCTTCTGGGATACATTTCTATTAAATCACTTGACTGATTATTCAGAAACTAGCTGAAACTGGTTTGGCTCAGTGGATAGAGCGTCAGCCTGCAGACTGAAAGGTCCCAGGTTCGATTCCAGTCAAGGGCATGTACCTTGGTTGTGGGCACATCCCCACTAGGGAGTGTGCAAGAGGCAGCTGATCGATGATTCTCTCTCATTGATGTTTCTAACTCTCTATCCCTCTCTCTTCCTCTCTGTGAAAAATCAATAAAATATAATTTTTTGAAAAAGAAACTAAATTACCACTAGTTCTACTTCTCCTTTATTAATACAATACCTAAGAATTATGAAAACACTCTTCTGCACACAGTATAACTGAGGAACGCAGTCAGCAATCTTCCCCAGACCTCCTCTGGAGTTCTCAACACTGTGATCTAGGTAGGGGCTTAGTTCCACTTACGTGGAACAAAACACACACACACACACACACACACACACACAAGAGACTTATGAACTCAGAGCAGTTCTCTTTATGAAAAAACAACCACACCAGCCACAATGGCTCTACAGTAGATGAAAATATGTATATACCTATATCATATATAAGTAAGCATTTAAAATCCTCTTGGTGAGAATATAAATAAGAATGAAAGCTATGACTTAGAAGTATTAGTTAATTATACTGAAAAGTGACATGGGGAATGTATAATTTTAAGACCCCCATGCTAACTGTGTAGGTTGATCAATAAATACACGCCATCAAAATATGACATAAGATGGGCCGGCGTGGCTCAGTGGCTGAGCATTAACCTATGAACCAGGAGGGTCACGGTTTGATTCCCGGTCAGGGCACATGCCTGGGTTGCAAGCTCGATCCCCAGTGTGGGGTGTGCAGGAGGCAGCCGATAGTGATTCCCCTCATCATTGATGCTTCTTCTATCTCTCTCCCTCCCTTCCACTCTGAAAACAATTTTTAAAAAGTCCTAAGTGGTTTGGCTCAGTGGATAGAGCGTCGGCCTGTGAACTGTGAAAGGAAGGGTCTCAAGTTTGATTCCCAGCAAGGGCATGTACCTTGGTTGCAGGCACATCCCCAGTAGGGGGTGTGCAGGAGGCAGCTGATTGATGTTTCTCATCAGTGTTTCTAGCTCTCTATCCCTCTCCCTTCCTCTTTGAAAAAAGTCAATAAAATATATTTTTTTAAAAATGAAGAGGAAAAAAGATATTTCCCTCCTCTCCAAGCAACCACACAGAACAAGCTATGTGAATACACATACAAGGCAGCTGCCTATAAGCCAAGAAAAGAGGCATCAGAATAAATTCTACCTTGCTGGACTTCCAGTCTCCAGAAGTATAAGAAATAAAAGTCTGTCTTTACAAATAATAATAAAATAAAATGAAAATATGTATATACCTCTGTCATATATATGTAAGAAGACTGCCCAACCAGCATGGCTCAGTAGCTGAAGTTTGACCTATGAACCAGGAGGTCATGGTTCAGGCACATGCCCGGGTTACAGGGCTCAACCCCCAGTGTGGGGCATGCAGAAGGCAGCTGAACAATGATTCACTCTCATCATTGATGTTTCTGCCTCTCCATCTCCCTCTCCCTTCCTCTATCAATAAAAAATAAATAAAAAGTTTAAAAAAAGGTAATTCCTAGAATAAGTTCATCAAGGTTGTGGAGGAAAAAAAGGCAAGACTCAAGAAAATTTTTTTAAAATAGATACTATATATACAGCATTCCCAAGTGATTCTTCCAATCCAGAACGATCATATTCTCATTACCTTGAGAAGACTTCTCAATTACAATATTGATTGGTAGGTAGCAAAGGATGCCACAGAAAGAGTGGGTTGGTGTCAATCCACAGTTCAAATCCAGCTCTGCCATTTGTTGAGTGATACTATGGTAGGCTATTTAACTTCTCTGAGCTCTAATAACGGGTTTGTTTTTAATTTAGAATATTTTAACTATTCTAACTCTAGGCACACATTAGATCAAAGGTTCTCAAAGTGTGGTCCGTGTAATCCTGGGGAACTCGAGACTCTTCCAAGAGGTCAAACCTATTTTCAGAATACACTATTGCCTTTTTTCTCTTTGTTGACATTTGTACTTGTGGCACAAAACCAATGGTGATTAAAACTGCTGGTGCCTTGGCATGAGTCAAGGCAGTGGCACCAACTGCACTAACAGCCATTGTTTAAAATTAACTTTATCATATATTAGTCCTTGGGCAGGTATAATGTATTTCTGGGCACACCTGTCATATATTAGTCCTTGGGCAGGTATAATGTATTTCTGGGCACACCTATTATATATTAGTCCTCGGGCAGGTATAATGTATTTCTGGGCACACCTGTCATATATTAGTCCTTGGGCAGGTATAATGTATTTCTGGGCACACCTGTCATATATTAGTCCTTGGGCAGGTATAATGTATTTCTGGGCACACCTATTATATATTAGTCCTCGGGCAGGTATAATGTATTTCTGGGCACACCTGTCATATATTAGTCCTTGGGCAGGTATAATGTATTTCTGGGCACACCTGTCATATATTAGTCCTCGGGCAGGTATAATGTATTTCTGGGCACACCTATTATATATTAGTCCTTGGGCAGGTATAATGTATTTCTGGGCACACCTATTATATATTAGTCCTCGGGCAGGTATAACGTATTTCTGGGCACACCTGTGTGCTATGGTTGTCTCAAGGAAACAATTCTAGCACTGGGATCTGACTTAGCAGTTTCTCTCTCAGAATATCATTTTTTTTATAAATATATTTTATTGATTTTTCACAGAGAGGAAGGGAGAGGAATAGAGAGTTAGAAACATTGATGAGAGAGAAACATCCATCAGCTGCCTCCTGCACACTCCCTACCGGGGATGTGACCGCAACCAAGGTACGTACCCTTGACCGGAATCGAACCTGGGACCCT